AAGGAGGACCACGAGATCCTCCCTCGGTTAGCCTGACGGCAAGATGACTCTGATCCGTCTACCACTGAGGATGTGGAATTCGTATCAACCAGCCATCGCTGGGATTCGAAACCAGTTCACCTTATTGGAAGGCGAGGGCTCTATCCCCTGAGTCACATCTCCTCCTAAAGTATATTTTCAGAAATGATGAAATATTTCACTAGAGGAGCCGGGGTGGGAGGCATAGAGTTGTATTTCAACTCTATTTGTATTTCAACTCTATGGTGGGAGGTCCCTGTGACCTCCCAGAAATGTTCACTATTCGGCAAATTTCGATTTAAAAAAAACACAAATTAAATTATAATAGATGCGTCTCATTTTTTAAAAAAAATAATTTTTACTATTTAATTAATCCAAATAAACTAGAAATTTAAAGTTCGGAAGAAACGAGAGCAATAAATAGAAGCCTTTTTACGTAATGTGTATGTATTTAATCTTTTTATGTAATTAAAATATCAATGTATAAAAATTGGGGCATTAAATAAAACTATGAAGAAAAAAAATTAGAAGTTCGCTGGGAAAAAACTGCGTCAGAATCCATGTGGCACAATATTTTCGGACTTTCTGCCGCAAAACTCTAGCAATCTTTTTGCAAGATACTTTCAGTAATAACAAAGATGTATGTAACTAATTGAAGGTAACAAAAACGGTGTGTTTATAAAACAATATATTTTTTTAATTGAATATATAATATTTTTTGATTATTATGGGCGCTATTCTATCATTTTGTTGGGGNGGGGGGGAACTCACTAGTTACTTCCTTTCCCGTATTTTATAAATCATTAACGCATTAAAGAAAAAAAATTAAAAATAATGAAATCCGATACAGTAATTGCCGAAAAACAGATCGAAGTCGAAATCACGCGAAGCGGATTATTGAAAAAGTGGTTACTCAAATGCATGTTTCGTTTCAAGATTTGATAATTGTAATAAATAATATCGGATTTTAAAAACTATATGGAAATCAAAAGCAATAATTTCCAAAAGAAGCCTTCAAAAGTAAATACTCGAATGCACGATTCGAATTTCCCATATCGTCTGAAATATATCGGGATAATTAAAAATCGCGTGAAAATCAATAACTGCCGAAAATACAATCGAAACTCTTCATGGATATCCGATACTATTGGCGTAAATTGAACGCCACAATAAGTGATAATTTAAGGGTTCTGCAAGAACTCTGTAACGTTCTGCGACAAAGTCGCTATGTCGCCGCGATTCTGCCACAGGGGTCAGAATTTTCGTGGGTAAGTGAGCGATAGCGGACAGGAAGCGATGCCCTCTTGAGAAATTACAAAATCCCTTCGATGCAATGAGAAGATTGCATTCTATTCTGTTCGGTTAAGGTTATTCTGCGCTCTTAATTTTTTAAAAAAAAAAAAAAAAAAAACATCCTTGGATTTTTATTTCTTTTTTCAGTAATATAATGCCATAAAATATTCGAGCATGTTCGACGCATAACAATAAAGTTCTTCCACTAACTGTCCTTCGAAAGTAAAGTGTTACGTAAAATTGCATTATTATTCTTCCCTCTATGTATACAAACAGAAACACGTGTTTTTCTAATGCTTCTTCCAACCTTGATTGTCACTCGTTCCTGGTTTGGTTTTAGCAGACTCCTTGTCGTCAACTGAGATATTTATTTTAAGATTGGCGAACGAACGACCTACGACTTTTCGCATATCACGTGCACAGTATCTTCCTGTCTTTTTACTAGAACGTCATTTTCGTTGCGAAATTTTAAACTCATTTCTTTGTTCTCAATCGGTAATTCTGCATTGTATCGTCTGAGCAAACGAAAAACTTCTCAACTTCTTTAATGTCGTATTGATTTATTTATTGAGCATTAATCGGTTAATGCCCGTATTGCAGTTTTTAATATATTTTTTATTATTAATATTCGGTAGGGAAATGGCTAGTAAGAAATTTATTAAAAAAATTAAAAATGTGACCGGGGTTGGATTAAGGTACCGTGGGAGGCTTAAGTATAACTTGGCACCCTAATTTAACAAATTGGATAAGCTTTACCTATATTCATTAATATTAAAACTTTTATGATATTCGAGTTAAAGTGTGTTTTACAAAATTATGTAAAGAAAAAAAGCTTTGTTTAAAAAAATTTATTCAAAAATTTCTTTAAAATACCATTAAGTGTATATGTCAGCAAAAAAAAAAATCCTGCATGAAATTCTAATATCAAGTATTAGTTAGAACTTTGTATGAACCATCGAATTTACAAATTTTAAAAATCCTAAAAGAAAAGGGGAAAAGAAGGAATTTTCCGTTTTTACTAAACATAGAAAAGTTTTGCCAATCAAACACTGCCAGGAAATTTTACATATTTTCTAGACGATTACGAAAATTAATTAATAAAATTAGGCAATTGGGTATGGGAGGTAGTGAAGGAAATAACATGGCCAAATATCCTTTTTTTTTTTTATGAATTTTGCACTTAAACCACATAATAAATTTTTATTAATTTTAACGGAAAATTTAAAAAAAAAAAACGCTTAAACATATTAGATGCATTTTTAGAAAACTATAGAAATCAATTTTACCTTTACTTCATCAACTTTAGAAGTCCCTTGTGGGGCCCAAAAAAATTTGCGACCCAGGAGCTACAGTCCCACTAGCCCACACCCTCTTAATCCCTACCTTAATTTAGCTTGAAGATTTTTTTTATATATAAAAAGAATAATTGAATATCCATTCTTCAGTAGGGTTTAAAAAATATAATCAATAAATCTGTTTTAATTAACAACATGCAATCATGCACAAAACTGAAAGGAATATACTGACACAATTAAAAAACATTTATTTAGATTTGTATTATTATTTGTGTTGCCCTTTATTTGCAAATGACTTTACGTTATTTGCTTTATTAAAAGTTTTTTTTCTTCTTCCAATGCCCACCTGTGTTAACATCCGTCAATTCAGGCATATACAGGGCGATTTTGTTGGCCTCTCTTTCAGGGGCACTATCAGAGAAGGAAAGAACATCCATGCCTTGCCTTTGATTCGAACCCAGAACCTTTCTGATGCAAGGATAATTCCCTGCCCCCTACACAGGCCCGTGCGCTTTATTAAAAGTTGTTTTGAAGTTTTTTTAACAAAATCTGTTTCAAAGTTTAACTCTTTAAAATAACGATTAACTATACTCAGTTATCATGAACAAATCATAATAGACAAAAATTTACTATAATTGAGCAGTTTTTATAAATTTGCACTTTAGTTTAACTTAATTTTTTCATATTTCAGTTAACACTGATTAAACATCATTTAGGTTTATATTTTATTTTATAACCAGCTTTGAACATCCAACCCAATAAATTTCTTCACGACTAAGGATGTTTAATTTCGTAACCTCATTGTTTTGAATCGAGCACCGAAGACAAGTGAACTTTTGAATCAAGTAATAGAACAAACTAGCCTTTGTGAAGAAAGAACTTTTTGAAGGAAGTAACCCGTATATGCATTATATGAAGAGAAAAACCTGCACTGTTAGCCTGATATCAAAGATGATTCTCACCCATGATCCGTCTACCACTGAGGATATTTAACGTCAGTGCAGTGGTCGGTGCTAGTCGGGAGCAAAGTTTGTATCGACCAGTCATCACTGAGATTCGAACTCAGGTCATCTCACTGGAGGCTAATAAAATAATCACATGGTTTCATGTAGCTTTAAAAATACATATTCTGTGACCCACTTTCATTTTACTTAAGCTTATGTTACTTACAGTTGATGAAAAACTTGCAATTAACTCATTGGCCGGCCTGGTGGCCGAACGGTTAGCATGCCTGACTGCAAAGCCAATGGCTGTGGGTTTGATTCCAGTCAGAGCATGGATGTCTGTTGTGTGATGTGTCAATGTGGCCCACCCTATGAACATAATTAGATAAAACCTATATCTGTGGCATGGGTTTCTCACCTATGTGACTTAGAGCAGAGCTGATTGTGCCCTGGAAAAATTCCGGATTTTTCCCTAATAGCGATCAAATCGATGCGATCTAATAGCGATGAAATCCAAGGTCCAGAAGTTTCAAGAAATCATCGATCACATTTATATATAAAAATTCTTGTTTATTTTATTTAAAAATATTAGAACTAGAATTTATACTTGCATCTCTTTCGTTTGTAAATATTTTTTCTGGAAGAAAAATAAATGTGATTAGAGATGTAAGTAAACTTTTACATAATTATTCATTTAAATTATGCTGTCTTTATATATATAATTTATTTAGAATTTCATGTTTTGAAAATATCAATGATTTAAATTTATGAAGACATAATTTTTTGAAATGCGTCATTAATGATTTTACTCAAGAAGTTTTCAGGATTTTTTAGTTGGGCTCACAGTCACTCCAGCTTAAGGTCACAGGTGCCCACTGCCACTGGGTAGCGTTAAATGAGCAACACTCCTGGCATCTTTCGAGGTGCAGAACGAAAGTTCAGTACCTGCTGCTAAAAAAAAAGATAATAAACCCTCTAAGCAACTCATTTTTGATTAATTAGGGCTGTAAGCTAGCTAACATCAATAGTGCTACCCTTTAAACAACTGGGGAAAAACCTGAATCATCTGCACGAATCATTTGCAACCTTGATCCGATCAGAAATATTGGTTTTTCATGTATCCTTAGCAAACATTCTAATCGATAACTAGCTGAACTTGCTTATTTTTGCTGATTAAGGCAAAGGAGAGGTATGAACAATGCTTATAAAATTTAAATTTTTAAAAAAATGGGATAAGCAAATCAGAAATTATCCAAGTGACCACTCTGTAGTATCATTGCATGTACATGAAGTTTATCTTCACAAATGTAAAATTTGGTATCCACTGAGAGCATGTTACAATTTTATGAAACTTTTCTCTGTTGCCTAACGATAGGATTTTGTGAAAGTTTATAATTCTTTTAAATTTAAATAATGACTTACTAAACATTTTCTTTCTTTTTTTTTCTAGTATTGTAATGGAGGTGATTTGGCTGAGTACCTAAATAGTGAGTAAACTATTTATCTTTGACTTTAGTTGTTTTATATCATGTATATATGTGACTGACTATCTTTTTTTTTCTTCATATTTTCCAGTTAAGGGTAGTCTTAGTGAAGATACTATTAGACTATTCCTGAGACAAATAGGTAAGTATCTTATTATATATTAAAATATAATGATGTTGTCGTAGTTTTCCATTGTTCTCAATACATTTTTATTGGCTGGAAAATCATAGGGTAGGATCCAGTTTTCCCACATTAATTTTCCTTTTGGTTTCCTATAAATATTTTTATATCCCTAGTTTAAGGATTATTATTACGTTTTTGATTTTGTTTGTTTTCTAAATGAAGAGTTTAAGAGGATTGTATTTTTTTATCAGTACAGGAATGAGATTCTTCCGCGGATTCGCGGATTTCCGCTTTTTCTCAGATTTTTTCATTTTTTCCGCTAATTTCAGCTGAAATTTTTTTTTGCACAAGTTAAAATATTTTATGAGGAATTTAATTTTCCGCTGAGCGAAATTATTGAAGTCCTCATTCCTCCCTCTGAAGTTTCTCTAAAAATCATTTCCTTGGGATAAAACTGGTTGACCTTTATACAGGGATGAGATTTTTTTCGCTTTTGTCTCTCGAATTTCAGCCTTTTTATCAAGAACTCAGATTCTCTAAAAGTTAGGGTTTTTTTTTATTCATTTATAAATATCCCGCTTTTTTTAAAAAAAAAATTCAGTCGAAGTCAAATTATTATACTTATTTACGATTTTCAAAGAAAAACAGGAAATTCAAACTACGTCCTAGCTGCTAATCCTTCCGCATGTTTACTTATAGTATTAGCTATTTTCTCCGATTTCACGGACAGAAAATAAGATTTTCCGTATTTTTTATCCATCGGCGGGATAGCTCGTATTTTCGTAATTTAGACGTCACTGCTTCTTGTATTCTGGAGAGAAAGCAAACAAAAAAGCGAAAAAAAATAGAGGTGGATTTGTGGTGAAAATATTTATTTGCTCATTCAATTAATCTTGTAAATTTTTATTTATTGTGTAAACAAAAAACAATTCAAACAAGCCTTTTAGAAATCCCAAGTCCAGACTCTGCAAATATCTCGATTTTTATTCACGCGATTTTAATATCAATCATCGATTTTCGTATTTACCTGATTTAAAAGTTGCGCATTGCAATTCTTATTTACGCTTTTTAAATATCGTACATTATGACTCGTATTTACGAGATTTAAAAATCTAATATCGTGTTTTGTATTTTTGCATTTTTAAAATCGCGATTTTATTATCAAACATCGATTTTCGTATTTACCTGATTTAAAAGTTGAACGTTGCGATTCTTATTCAGGCCATTTAAATATTGTACATTGCGATTCTTATTTACGAGATTTAAAAAACCAATATCGCGATTTGTATTTACGAGCTTTTAAAACCCTATGTAGCTACGCGAGCTTAAAATCCAATGTCGTGATTCGTTTTTGCGGTTGTAATATCGCGCGATTTTAAAATTATGCATCTTGATCTAAAAATTACGCATCATGATTTGTATTTTCGCATTTTTTAAATTCGATGTAGAGTTTCATATTCACGTGATTTAAAAGCCTCATATCGGGACTTATAATCACATGGATTACAAGTTTAAACAAAAATTTGACAAAAAAAGTGCGATTTTTATATATATATTCTTGGATTTCCTCTTTTTTTCTTTCTGACTACTCTCATCCCTGTATCAGTAGTTTTAGAGCAACGTAATTCTATGTTTCATTTTAAGATAAAGTTATTTAAATCTGTGTCTGATCTTATTAACCGTTTTACAATTATTGTTTTTTGGTGCAAATTACATAAATAATACTATTATGAACTAAGGTTAATGAGATTCTGTAATTGATATTTAGAACTTAGCTCTCAGCTTTATGCACAAAGTGATGAATGCAGAAATAGTATTTAAAATCTATCATCCCATTTGGTAAGCAGAAATATTAAACACATTGAGAAACATTGATTTACAGTATACAGTTGAACCTCGAATATTAGGGAATAGGATTATGTAGAAAAATCAAAATTTTCGCCTCATCAGGGGACTATCACAATTGATTTTTCAAATGCTTGAACATGGGTGCCACTTTTCAGTCCAGGGGACTGAAATCAGTCTTGAGAAAAAAAACTCAGTGGACTGAATTCCATCCATCTGAATTTTTTTTAAATTAAATTTTCTTTATTCTTCTTTAAGAATGTAACAAATATTTTATATTAAAAACATATAAATTGTGTAATTTTATGTTTATTGCTAAAGGATCAAATAATATTGTCACGCCTCAATGAAAGAATATGATAGATTAAACTTCAATGTTTGCTTGTGTAAACAAAATTGTGTACTATTGTTGAATATAAAATCTGATTTAGTTTACACTTTCCTCTGATCTTCTGAAATGCTAAATTACAAATAAATTTTTTTAAAGAAATTTATGGAGTTAAGATAAAATTAATGGTGAAATGAAAAATAGTTTTTTTTTTTTAAAAGTTATTGATTTATATCAGTAATTTTACTTGGTGATTAGTGCAAAAGAGATATACAAGGTTAGATCTTATTGTTGCAATTGCTATAGAGAAAAATATTTATTTATTTTAAGAAATAAACAAATTATTGATTTAATATAGAGGCCACGATAATTAATTCAAAAATAAGTTCGGTCTTGAAATTTTTTTAGAGTTGCACCCATGTGCATGAACAATAACCATGAATTAAATTGCTAAAAAAATAGTTGTAGTTATAAAGCAGTGAAATTTTAGAATCCTCGTCACAACAGTAGTTTCACAACAGCTGTAATAATAATGATACATATTGTGTAGGCTTTTATTGTGAGTCTGTAAGAGTGTCTGATAAACAGAGATGATTGTGCTCTGGAAAAAATCTGGATTTCCCGATTTTTCTCTAAATTTCGCAAAATCTAAGGTCCAGTATAAAAATCACATAAAGTATAAAAAATTTGTATAATATTAGAACTTATACTTGGCATCTCTTTCATTTGTAAATATTTTTTTTCTGCTAGAATAATAAATGTAATGAGAGATAAAAGTAAGCTTAAATATAATTATTCATTTAAATTATGCTGCATATAATTTATTTAGAATTTTATGTTTTGAAAATATCAATGATTTAAATTTATAAAGACATAAATTTTTTGAAATGCATCATAAATGATTTTACTCAGGAAATTTTCAGGATTTTTTTGAATTGAGCTCACAATCCCCCCAGAAAATGGGTTATCCAACAAAGAATATATGTTTTGTTTAGATTTTTTATGTGAATATTTATTTCAGTACATATTAAATACCTTTTTGTTTTAAAGCTGAAGCTATGGTTCTCTTGAAAGAAATGGAAGTGGTTCATAGAGATCTCAAACCCCAAAATATTCTTCTGTGCCACTCTGGAAAGCCTAATCCACCCCCTGAAGAAATCACCCTAAAAATAGCTGATTTTGGATTCGCTAGATTTCTTAACGAAGGAGTCATGGCAGCTACTCTATGTGGATCCCCAATGTACATGGTAAGAGATTTTATTTGTTTTAAAATTACATTATTGTGTTGTGCAGCTTTGAGGAGAACTCCAGACTAAAAGTCTGGAGCTGCCTGCTGCTATAGTAACGAATTGAGCACATTTCTAATGGGAGTGCACTGGAGGAATGAAGGTGTCAATTGGTTTACTCATGCTGACCTATGCCAAGATCAAACAAAACTATTCACCCCCTATTTGAAGCGACTTTTCTCGTAACCATAGTACCTGCCACGGCGTGCGACTGGTGTCTGGAGTAGTTCTGATAGTCGCACTATATTCCTAGAAAAAAACTTTTAATGCATTGCTGTGTTATCTCTTTGGATAAACTTTCAGCGATCATCGAACAAGATATTTTATAGGTATTGATCGCTATAGTTGGCAAGAATGAGTGATATTTTTTAAGAAAAATTCTTTAAAATCAATTCTTAAACAATAGGTTCTTCCGGCTCAGCGGACATCCTTGATAAAGGTGATTCCTTCGATAAGTAAAGTTATAACTTGAGTAATTTTTAGCCCACTTCTAAGTAGTCTGCTTATATCACGTCAGTTATATAAGTTTTTATTCTATTCTAAAATAATTTAATTTTTTATGAAGTTTTTTCCTTTTACAATTTTTATGATATTTAAAGGATTAAAAGGAGAAGGAAGAAAACTTTAACAAAAAAACATTACTCATTGTCAGGCAAGTTTTGGTTGGAAGTCAAAAATTACGGAACAGTAAGGTTAGTTTTCATGTCTAAGCAACAATGCATAACTCTGAAGAGATTTTTTTAATAAAATATGACCGCTTACAGTAAAAATAATAATTATATGTTGCAAACTGAACTATACAGAAGTTTTTCCAAAAATGTAAGCTTATGGTGCTGTAAGTTTTTGCATACTTACGAAGTTTTTGCATACTCTTACTATTATGACTGATAATTTTAAACTCTCTTCAAAATAAAGTTCTGGAGTTCAAAATAAAGTTCAACATTTTGATATACAGTAGAGTCTCGAAAGTTCGAGTCTCAGAAGTCCGAGGTTCCGCTTAATTCGAGGTGCCAAATTTTCCCCCTAGCAACCAAAAGCGTAGCAAAGGTACTCCTATAAGTAGCCCTATTCTTCAGGAAAAAGCTGTGTTTTCAGAAATCAGTTCAAAGAAGGAGAAGAAGATTTCGCAGCAAGCGTTGGTTGGTTAGACCGTTGGGAAAAAAAATTATATGATGTACGTCAACTAAATATTTGCAGTGAAATACTCTCGGCAGATACGTCAGCTGTGCAGGCATTTCAAAAACGGATTGAAGACATTATATTGACGGAAAAGCTCACACCTGACCAGTTATATAACTGTGACGAAACAGGTTTGAACTTTAAGATGTTATCCTCAAAATCCCTTGCTTCAAAAGAGGAAAATTCAGCTCCAGGTCACAAAAAACGGAAGGAATGATTAACCATTTTAGCATGCGTCAATGCATCTGGAAATCATAAAATGAAACTGACTGTGATTGGGAAATCTGCCAAACCTAGAGCCTTAAAAAACATCACTAAAGAAGCCTTACCAGTACATTAGTTACCAGCATGGATGAATCGAGACATTTTCAAACAATGGTTTTCAGAACATTTTGTTCCAGAAACACGGAAGGCATTGAGAAAAAAAAATTTGCCTTGCAAAGCAATTTTGTTTTTAGATAACGCTCCATCTCATCCCTTAAAACATGTAGAACAACAAACTGAAGCCACCCCTGCAGATGTTTTGCTTTTGAAGCGTTGGCTGACTATCGCATCAACAAAGAGAAGTAATATACTGAAGCAACAAAAAATTGACAATTTTTTTTAAATTGTAAAGAATCTTTTATGTCATTATACTAAAGAATAAAGGATTTTAAGGTAATATGATCATTTTATTTAATTTCATTTGTAGTTATTAAAAATTTTCTACTTTTTCGGAAAATCCGAGTTTTCAGTAATCCGAGGTAGTGTCAGCCCCAATTACCTCGGATTTTCGAGACTCTACTGTATTTCTATATATTGTAAAATTAAATTCCTCCTATTTGCTTTCATGTAATTTGATTTTTTATATTCCTTCATATTTAAACATAAGTGGTTGATCGTGTAAAGCTAAGCACAGGTGGCATTAGTAGTTAAAATTTATCGTAAGGCTTCCGGGTTCATGCTTCCGATTGATTTTTATAACTAAGCTTGAGAAAGTGTGTCATCCAATATTTTTATGCTTTTTATTTTATATTATAACCGACCCAATCTTGGATTTACGACTACTAATGTTCAACTTCGGGGCCTTGTAATTTTGAACCAATCCAGAAGACAAGGAAACTCCTGAATCAGCACCCCCAGAGGTATGATTTGTTATGGGATCATAGAGGACTTTGTGTTTCGACAGATTTAACGTGCGTCAGTCACCATTTACCCAGTCACAGGGAGTCTTTGGCCCTCAGGGATCGAACCCAGGTCCTCTTGGGCATGGGCCCAGTGCCCTACCAACCAGGCTATTCCGGCCATTAATATGATACTTGCTGTGTTTACAATATAACACATTTTTTTCAATTTAAATTTCAACCAAATTAACAGCAAATTAAATTCCGAAGACGCCGCAATATTGCTATGTCCTGCAACATGCTACCCAAGAAATTACAAACAGTGAACACATATCTATCCAAATAAGGGATGATACTCAAAACAAGACAAACCTTACACTTTATTTATGTTGTGATATTAACTATCATGAATTGTAAATTTTAACACAAATCATGATAATAAAACTTATTAGAATATAAAGCCTTTTCACACATCCCCTTGTAAGCGAAACATAAGCGGAGTGATACGTAGGAAGTTTTATAAATTCCAGTTTTAGGAAGCCTTATTATTGTTCATTTTCAGTTGACCATTGATTCATTTTTTGAAAGCTTTAGTCAAACATTTCTATTTCAAAAATAATTGCTATATTATGTCCTTTTTTTTGTTATGAAATGTTTTTAATTCTGATGTATCTCTTCTAGGCTCCTGAAGTAATAATGTCATTAAAATATGATGCCAAAGCAGATTTATGGAGCATTGGAACTGTTGTATATCAATGCCTCACTGGGAAAGCCCCCTTTATGGTAACTAGCTTGTATAAGTATTTATGTAGGTTTACCATGGTAAGTTTTGTCGTTAACCATTTTATCCCAAATTCTTCTCTCTCATTAAACATGGTGCGTAGCGTTTTTAAAAGGTGCTTATTTTTGATTTTCGTTTTTTAAAAGCGCTTAAAGGTGCTTTTATCTTTGGGTGTTGTTTAAAAATTGCTTGATTTTTCAAAAATAAGATTTTTTTTCCTTTAACATGTCGATTTTCGGCTGATATTATGCAAAAGCTTGTTTTTCACGTTGTTCTATTCAACGTTTTCATAATTTATTCAACCACAATCCATTTTGCCCTATTGTCGATCCGTAGCGTATGAAAGCGGCAATCATTTTAAATGTTTGATGAAATAGTTGCAAATCTGCATGACTGAGCTGAGTTCCGTGAGATTTTAGCACTCTCTTGTGCAACTCTGTTGCATTTTGCTAGATATTCTCAGTTTGGGGCTTCATTTTCCACCCATTATCGAACCAAAAAAATCTCTCGATCTTTTTATGGTGGCTAATATAATCAAGAAATGAGTTCTTTGACAGAAACTAGTTATTTTATCATGATGGTGTAAAGTCTTTGAAAATTATTTTGTATTTTATTAATGTATGTAGTGCTTAAAAATATTTTCTGAGTGCTTAAAAAGTGCTTATTTCTTGTTGAAAGATTTGGCTACGCACCTTGTTGAACCATTTTTTGTTTCATTTGTTCTTATGCAATTGTCTAAGTATCATTTTTCATTCTCTTATTTTATCTATGTTGTTCTAATCTTCATCCTCTTGATTTATCTACATTGTTCTTATCTTCATACACTTGATTTATCTACATTGTTATTATCCTCTTCCTCTTGATTTATCTACATTGTTCTTTTCTTAATCTTCTTGATTTATCTACATTGTTTTTATCTTCATCCTCTTCATTTATCTACATTGTTCTTATCTTCATACACTTGATTTATCTAAAAAAAAATTATCTTGGTTTTATTTTATCTTCATTATTCTTATTAATGGGTCTTGGTCTCTTATACATCATTATAGTTCATTGTTTCTTTTATCCTCATGATCTTTATTGTAATTTAGAAATTATGTTTATCATCATTTTTTCTTACAAATGCATTTCTCTCTCATTGGATCATTCTTGTTATTGTCTTATTTTCTTTGCATTGTTCTGATCTTCATTGTCTCTTTTTATCTTACCTATTGTTATCTTATCTTAATTTATCTACATTTTTCTCCATCTATATTGTCTTCATTATTTTAATTCATTTAGACTTCTTATAAGTATTTTCTTTGTTATCCTTATCTTCAGCATACTGTACTTTTAGAACTCTTGTCGTTTATCATGTATTTAATATTTTTCAAAATATTTTGGATTGTAGCTTAATATTTCTTTCTACGCTCAAAGCATTCTTTGAATTGAACACTTTTTAAAATTTGAAATATTCCATGCAATTTTTTATTTTAAATATAAGTAGAAAGTGAGAAATCAAAGGTTGAACAAAAGAACAACAGTTCTTTAAAAAAAATTAGAATGAAAATAAAATTTCTTAGATGATTATTTACTTATTGCACATGTGCTTCCCTTTTATCATACAAGTTAATAGAAGTTATCCTCTCACTGTGAATCGGGTTTCATGAATGTACCAAAATAAAATAGTGATTGCTAATTACTTCTATAGGGTACATAGCATTTTTAAAAAGTGCTTAAAGGTGCTTTTTTTAAAAGCCCTTAAAGGTGCTTTTTTGCGGGGTTTGTAAAATGTGCTTAATTTTCTTTGAATAGAGATTTTTTTTCCCATGCTGATTGCTCTAAATTACAAAAAAATGCTTGATTTTTCACAATTTTTTCTGCTATATTTATCAGAAACTAGTTATTTTATCACGATTATATAAAGTTTTTAAAAATGTTTTTGAATTTAATTGATTTTATGTTTATAAATTAAGAACGTTAAATAATAAGAATAATAATTTTTAATACTGCATAGATCCTAAATATGATTTTTTTTTTTTTTTTTTTTTAGACGGAAGCANTTTTTTTTTTTTGGTGAGTGATTAAAAATATTTTTTGAGTGCTTAAGAAGTACTTAAAAGGTACTTATTTTTTCGTTGTAAAATCTGGCTACGCACCCTACCCTGTTCTATAAGTGTGTTCAGTTTTTCGTTCACCTAATTTTTTGGAATTAGATGCATCTTTTAAAAGAATTTCTAACAGGTAATGTAAAAAATTTCATCAGTTTAACTAACTGCATTTCAACCAGATTTTCTCATCCGTGGTAATAGCATGTGCAAGGTTCTCTTCGAAGAAACTCTTTGAGGAAATTTTATCTAATTTTTTTAATGAATTCCGTTCAGTTATTCCTTTTGTTTCTTTGTAAAAATCAAATGGTATTCTGGACTCATTTTCTCACATTTATTTTGCATTTATAACAAGGTTTTCTCTAAGGATATGGTTTAAATTTTTTAAACCATTCCATTTGTTTTTTCTCATTGCAGCAACTAATAATATACTAATGAACCAATATATCTTCCTTTGCATCTGGGTATAGCTAATACGATTGGGTACCTGGTAAAAGCTTAGATCCACTCTTTGATGCTTCTATTGCTTCTGATATTTAAATTAATTTTATATTTATAAATGTTTATATTTGGTTTTATAACATTAATTATTTAGTTAGCAAAAAAATTGTTATAAATTATTCCATTCCTTCTATTAATCTGTTTTAATGAATATAGCAGTGGAAAAAAGTTTATTCAATACTTTTGTAGAATTCTAAAATCTGTTAAAGAATTTTTTTTTACAATTTCATACAATCATTTGTTTCTTCACTTCTGTATAGAATAAAATAGAAACGCAATAGTTTTGCTTCAAATTCTTTTTGCAACAGTTTTGCTCTCCAAAGAAGATCATTCTTATTCTAAGGAAGCCAATTCTCTCATGATTATCTTGTAATTGATTGTTTTTCTTTATATTGCTCAGTCTTAATTTATTTTAATATCAAACGACAAGACTTACCTATTTAATTCCTCTTTTTGATTTTCTGCAGAACACGTAAAGTATAGTAAGCAAATTAAAATGAATGATTTTTGGTTGTATGATATGATTTTGCATATAACTTATAAATTTCTATGTAATAAGAGTCTTTTTTTTTACAAAATTATTTTTATTAAAATATCAGGGTTAGCAATGATCAAGATGTCTCAATCATTAAGTTAAAAAACTGATATGTATTTTATAAAACTTAATGCTATATCCTGTAAATTTAGGGAAATGAAACTTGAATGAAATAAATAGAAAAATTGCAGTATGTATTCTTTCAAACCTTTTGAATGTATAGTTTGTCATAATTTTCATTGATAATGAAGCTAAATCATATTAAAAATTACTCAACAGGACTGTTACTTAACCCCTCTCCCTCCCCCCAAAAAAACTGTTTGATTGTTTATTTCTTTTCTTTTTCATTTGGAGAAACAAATAGTACCAATTTTTTTTCTCTCTTGAATATACATATCATGCATATTGGTTACATATTTCACATGTGAAATTTTATACAATGATCAAAAATTTTAATTGTTAATAGCATGTATATGTCACAAATGTTTTCTTTCATTCTAGATAAGTAACAGCCATGACTCTTGCAGAATATTTAAAATAGAATTCTCATTTTTCACCTTTGATATCTTATAGTAAACATTTCTAAACTTTGCTTACATTTTAATCTTTTGAAGTGTTGCATATAGTTAAGAAATTACATCAATTCATTATAAAAACATGATTATCCATTGCTTTTATTCTGGTAGTTTACTTTAAAATATGATGAAAATATGTTTATTTTATATCATTAAATAACATATTATTAAGGGTGATCAAGCGTGTTCTTTTTTAATACACATGAAATATTTTCTCCGTAGGATTTGAGAAATTACAATTTTGCATTCAAAATCAACTCTTGCAGACATTATCTGGTCAAAACCTAGTCCTTATGTTTTCTCCTTATTTTCCCCATAAGCAACTGGAATGAAAAAGCTTAAATTTTTATTTGAATGATAGTTTAACTTTTTAGTTTAAAAGATACTTATTATTAAATTAAAAAATACATACATTTTGGAGAGTGTTATAATTATTTTTTTGTAAGTATATTAACATCCGGTTTTTATCCAATCTGGTCTGATAAAACGGATGATATATTGAATAAATAAATTTTTAAAAAAATCTACCAAATGTTTTCTTAATAAGAGTAATTTCCTTCAAAATTTAATGTTCATCTACTTCTGAATTGTCTGACAATTTCAATTTTCCAATAGATTTTATTTTTTATAATTCAATTGTTTCTTATATTTTGTTCTAATTTATCTCTTTTTTTTAGGCTCCTAATCCTCAACAACTAAAACACTATTATGAGAAAAATGCTAACTTAGCTCCAAGGTATGTGAACTATTCTAAAACTATTTTTAATAACACTTTTTAAACCTTGGTTAAAAAATCTTTGTTCAAATGTAAGATGGCTTAAATTATTTAGCATATTTAACCATGGTTATTGTATATATATACGTATAAATGTATGATAAAAAATTCTGGGACAGCAAAAGGTTTTTTAAAACATTGTCGCCCCATCAATTTTAGATTTGTGAAGTATTACTTAGATTTCGGTTCAAAAATGTTAGATCAATTTGAATCAATATAAGTTGCTTAGTACAAGCATAATAACTTCAAATAAACTTAATATTTATTAAATTTTCTTTACATTTATGAAAATAATTTTTTGGGGTTATCTAGCATCATAAAATATTGTTTTTTTTCCCACTTAGTATGAGTTTGGCTTTGATTAGAAAGGGGTTAAGCTTCTGGCATATTTATTTAACAATAACCTAAAACTTTTCTCATTCAGCATTAAAGGTTAAAGTTAAAAAAAATTCCAATGTAGTTGAATATACTATTATTATTCACGCGTCATGTTACCAATATCTGTACCACGTTAGTTCATGAGCTTGGTGTTATAACTCCATTTCTAGTTTAAAAGTCCAATTTCAAAGTTTTAAAAAAAATCAATTGCTGTTTTTATGTATACTTTTATTTTCTACTCTTTAACTGACAGAAACAAATGTTAAATGCTTCTTAAACTACTTTCAAGCTACAATTTTTATATGACTTACTCTAATATGAGTGCTTTGACACAATTTTTTTAATTAATATTTCAAATTATCAATATACCTTTCAATTTATTTAATGGTCGACCTACATTTAAAATAGTATTTTAACCCAAATTTAACAGCAAATTTATAACTTTATTTATTTGTTTTTACATTTAAGAATAAAAATTTTCTTCATATTTTGATAATCAGTTAACTTAACCATTGTTTTTTTTTTTTTCTTTTTTTTCAGTTTTCCAGCTCATTAAAGTTTTAAAAAAAAATCAATAGCTGATTTTATGGATACTTTTATGTTCTACTCTTTAACTGACAAAAACAAATATTAAATGGTTCTTAAACTACTTTCAAGCTGCAATTTTTATATGACTTACTCTAATATGAGTGCTTTCACACGAGTTTTTTAATTAATATTTCACCTTATCAATATACCTTTCTATTTATTTAACTGTTAACCTACATTTAAAATAGTATTTTAACCCAATTTTACCAGCAAATTTATAATTTTATTTATTTGTTTTTACATTTAAGAATAAAAAATTTCTTTATATTTTGAAAATCAGTTAACTTAACCATTGTTTTAGTTTTCTAGCTCATTATTTAATGACCATTCAAAGTACAATTTAGTTCAACATTTATTTTACATAATATTTTTTGAAAGTTACAATATTTACTCTTTTTTTTTTAACAAAAACTTTACATAGAAATTTTTAGGCATTTATAAAAAAGATGTATTGTATTTGTAGCATACCAAATGGAACATCACCTGAATTAACAGACTTACTGTTGCATTTAATGAAAAGAGATGCCAAAGACAGAATGGATGTTGGTAGGGATTTTATAATTACTCTCTATTGTTTTGATAATTTTTGAAGATATTTTTCTTTTTTAAATTCCTTTTTTTGCACTTAATTAAAGCCATCCGTCTTATCTGGGCTGTACTTCCTTTTTTGGAGAGAATTCATTTATTTTTCTTCTTTACATTTGTGTGTCACAATAAATTCAGTATTTATATCATTTGGTTACAGTTCAATTTTTTATTACTTAAATTTTATAAAGTTTAATTAATTAGTTATAATTAATTGAATGTAATTTAGTTTTAATTAATTTATGTATTAATACAAGCAATATCAAATTGTCTTAAAAATTTAAAGAAGTTTATCCATGTGTTTGTGACTATTAGAAATGTCTTATATCTGAAAATTTTACGTAATATACAGTGAGGGCAACTTGCAATGCATACATACTATTAAAACAAGTTTTTTATTTACTTACTATTGTGATTTTTCCAAATGTCAGATGTAAAATATTTTACATGCTGTAAGAAGAGGACAATTTGCACAAATACCAACTATTAAACTGAGCTTGTATGTATTTTTGTGACATATCCAAATTTCCAAACATGTTAAAAATCAAAAGTTGATTAAGCTGATTTTTGAAGCAGTTCCGTATGTTTGTTCTAAATGTACTATTCTTTTAATAGGAATAGTTTTTTAATGTTTTAAAAAATGTGATCTGATGCTGATTTTTTAAAAATCTTTTTCAGAGGAGTTGTACAACCATCCATTTCTGAAAGCACTTCCTCGCAGTAGTAAGTATTTATGGCTTATAATAGAATTCTGTGTCAAAATTATATTAATCCAATTTTTTTAAATCAACTTTCTGAGGCCGATGTTTATTTTTTAACCTCCTTTAATAAATGCTGTTAAAAACGATTTTTAAAAATTTTTATTTTATTCTAATATTTTATTAAAATTTATTTTTTGTCCTTTTTGTACTTAATAACATTATTATAGTTTTAATGTTATTATTATTTTGAAATTTTTTTATACAATCCTGTAAAGTTAAGAATTTTTCTTGAAACATGACATATCTACCCCACTGTTATCTTTACAATCTAAGTAAATAAATCCTCTTATTCCTTGCTGTAGACATACAAAACATTCGTAGTTGTTCTGTATAATGCATTACTTTATGTTAGAACTTTTACATTATATCAGGTTTTTTCGAAATAAAAATTTATGTCTATAATTTTGTATTTTCTTTTTGATCAGGTTCTCCAGTACCTGTTCCTATAAGGCGATCAGTGTCTCCTTGTACCCCTACTTCTCCTTATAGTTCTTCTGCTACTCACAGCTGGGAAAGGGAGGTGGGTGGTGAAGATATGGCCCAGAGTAACTCCTCCCTCTCACCCTCACTCAATAACTCAGAAGAACAGAGATATTCCCCACCCATGGCCATTGAACAGGTAATACTATTTTCCAAAAATTATATTAAAATCAAACCAGGGTTTTTCCATGATTTTTTACTATGGTTTAGTTCAGAGCTCATAGTAGAAGAAATTTTCTGGAGCCAGAAAAAATTACTCTGCCTAGTTAAAAGCTAGGTCCGCAGTAGATCAGCGGTTTTCCAAATTTTCTGGTTATGAAACCTTAATATGATTGACCTCCTTTTGGCAAAACCCTGACTTGAACTAATCAAATATATTGAAAAAAATTTTAATTTTATGAGCTATCTTCCGTGGATTCAGAGATCTAGAAATCGGTTGTTCAACAATCTAAAAGCATTTTTTTTTTTTTGGTTGCATCTTCTCAATTATTTTGGCATTATACAACATTCAACAAATATTCAACTTAATGTTTTACTATCCTCATTTTAGGGTCTGCTTAATCTATAAGTTGAAAAAGTAGAAAAATGTGTTGAAATTTGAAACACATAGTAAATTAATAAATTTTTTTGCTACTCATCTTTATTAAAATGTATATTGAAAAAAAAATTAAAAAAACTATTTGTGTTACTGTTACAAGAAAAATTTAAATTTTAATGAAATATAGGCAAGGGTCTTCAAAATTATTGAAATTCAGAACGTTATTTAGTAATAAGTAGATTATTAACTAAACATTATCTTATAAGTAGAAATCGGTTGTTCAACAATCTAAAAACATATTTTTTCATCTCACTTATTTCAGTAAATATTTATACAACATTCAACAATTATTCAGCTTAGTGTTTTACTATTCTCATTGAGGTTTACTTACACTATAAGTTGCAAAATTTGTTAAAATTTGAAACACAAAGAAAAATAATAAATGTTTTTGCAAACTATCTTTATTATCTTTATTTGAAAGAAACTATTTGTGTTATTATTACAAAAAAAATTTAATTTCTAAGAAAATATATTTAACTTTAATGGTATTATAAATTTAGTACTCGGCAAGGATCTACAAAGTTATTGAAATTCAGAATGTTATTGAGTGATAAGTAGATTATTAACTAAACATTATCTTATAAAGTAGTCGAGTTAAATGGGGAACAAATTTAATGTATAGACAATTGCATACAAGCTAAAATCATATTAAAAGCCTGGATAGTATTCAAACATTCTTTTTTAAGTAATTCCATTAAGACAAATACTATCAGGATTTTCTGATTCAAAGTATTCACATTAGTGAGAAAATAGTTTTTAAAATTATTCTAGTCAGATTTTAAGTAAAAAAAGATAAATAAATAAATACTTTTTTCAAAAACATTCAAATTTTTTTAAAATTTATGAGAAACAGATTAATTAAATTAAAACAGAAATAAAGAAGAATATTCAGCTATAATTTTTTAGGTTCCGGTGAACTAGGCCCCTAAGATTTGAAGATCCATGAACAATAATAAGTATAGGATTGTCCAACTACAGCAGTTTTTTATGACAAAAACACCAAACTTAATTTAAATATATTGTGACAAGCAAATTTTTATCTGTGGTGATATTGTTTTAATAAACAAATATTTGTGTTAATATTATGTTACTACTTATATTTACAATTATATCTTTATAATATTATAATCTTATTTTAGGATTTTGTTGTTGTACCTTCAAATATTCCTGATGAATCAAAATTAGGTAGGTTTTGTTTTGTAGCAATAACTAAATTGCATAATTGTATTAGTAAAAAGAAATTTTTCGTAAAATTACCATGATATTTGCTTTAAAAAATTAGCTTTCATAGTTTAAAAATCAATGTTCTTACAGAAAGAATTTTTTTTTCCTCCATTGCCCAGTAAGCTTTCAATGTTTTATTTCCTTGATTATTTTCTTTCCATTACAAAATGTCCCACCTTTTATAATGAAATTCAGGCATTGCTGTTGCCACTGACAAGATACAAACTCTGGTCTTTTCCAAAGTTAATGTTAAAAGTTTTCTATCATTAAAACATTTTAAATTTATTTATAGCATTACATATTAAATCCTAAAACTAGCGTATTAAGGGATCACAGTACCCTTGCAACATTTTTTTTTTTTAAATAAAGGTATAATCATTCATATTTTGGATGCTGTACATGCTCATTTAGCTTATAATCAATAATTTATCTTCAAAAAATAGTTAAATTATTAACTTTTAAAAATTTAAAAAGAAATTGAAAAAATAAATTTTTTTAAATCTCTAAGACTTTTTTATTTTAACATATTTTCAAAATAGTGCTTACAGTATTCATCTTAACAATTTTGTCCATTCATTTGTTGATATATCAATTAGAACATTTTTACAGATTATTTAGTAAAAAAGGTAGAAAAAAAAGGTTAAAAATTCCTGTTAGGTATGTATAACACATTGTAAAAATTGTAACACGTCATACAATGCTTATTCCATGCACATTTTAAATAACTGTATTATACTTAAGATAAAAAAGTTTACTTCAAAGCTTTATCTTAAATAGAAAAAATTCCTTAGGGATTTAATTAAATTTAAAACACAAAATTATTATCTATGAGAAAAGACACTTTAAAGTTTGNCTAAGACTTTTTTATTTTAACATATTTTCAAAATAATGCTTACAGTATTCATCTTAACAATTTTGTGCATTCATTTGTTGATATATCAATAAGAACATTTTTACAGATTATTTAGTAAAAAAGTAGAAAAAAAAGGTTAAAAATTCCTGTTAGGTATATATAACATGTTGTAAAAATTGTAACACGTCATACAATGCTTATTCCATGCATATTTTAAATAACTGTATTATACTTAAGATAAAAAAGTTTACTTTAAAGCTTTATCTTTAATAGAAAAAATTCCTTAGGGATTTAATTAAGATTAAAACACAAAATTATTATCTATGCGAAAAGACACTTTAAAGTTTGTCTGCTGTTCAAGTTTCTGTTTTAGGACAATCTAAAATCATTCATAACTTTTTTTAAAATGATTTTTTTTTCAGTGCATTTGAAATAGTTTGAAGTTTTATTATAAGCAGTAAGAAAAATGTGGATATTTTGATCATTTCTTGGGTACTGTGACCCCTTAAAATAATTATTTTAATTGTAAATATATCATATTTTAAAAAAGTGTCATTGTTTACTTTTTATCATATCTTTTCAATTTTTATTGTTAAAAAGAACATTAAAAAAATTAGATTTCCTTTGAATAAAGTTTAAATTTTTGTGTTATTGAAAATTTAATTTTTTGAATAGCTTTAAGGAATTTTTGATTGATTCATATTGCAATTTGACATGTTTTACAAAAGATTTATGGAAATAAGAATATTTTATAAAAAATGTCACTTCATATATATTAGAACAAAAAAAAAAAGAATATGAATTTATTGCTGCAAAAAAATTTGACTATTAATTTATATTTAATAAATAATTTTTTCTTGTTTCAATAAAATTATCAGTTGAAATTTTTTGATTATGTTAATTATCTTGGGCTGAGTTATCTTGAGCTTTTAAATTAAGAGGTTGAAGAAAAATGGATTAATGGCATTATAAAATGAATAATTGAAATTTCTGAAACTAAATGTCCTTTTAAACTTTTTATAATAAGTTAAAATATCTCAAACTTTTTTTGACTCTTTGCATATATCTTAAGCATTTCCTAGTGAAAGTTTTTATTAATTCTTAATACGTATTTAATGAAAGTGATGATTAATTTCTCATAATTATTTTAGGTGAAAATAAAAATAGCCATCTCAAACACCAACTTAGTGATCCAAATGTGTAAGTTATTTTAAATTTTTCTTGGCAAAATAGTTTTATGGTTTAAATGAAATAATGGAATTTAATGGTTTTTTCAATAACTTTTACTTTTTTGACAAAATAATCATTTTAATGGAATAAATTAATTTAATAAGTAACAGAGTAATTGTTACTTTTTTGATGAAATAATTTGACAATTTTTTTTCAGTTTTTCCTCATGTATAATGTTTTTACTTCATAGATGCATTTAAATTCAATTACTTAATATAAATTTTTTTGAAATACAATTAAAATAATTATATGTCTTGACAATCGAGTAAAAAAGTTATTTTTCAGAAAGTATGCATTTTTTTTAAAAAAAAATTTGTGATAACAAAAACAATATTATTTGTTTTGGCTTTATTTTTAAGTTGACTGCTTACAAATCTATTGAAAAGGCAACTCCACAGTGACTGTCCGTAAAATAACATTCTATACGAATTTGATCATAATTTATCATGACTCTTCACTTTGTTGTGCCAAAGTAAACGGATATTAACTAATGTCTAACTGCATGTGCGACATTTGTTTTAAAAAACTGACGTAGTAAGTAAAAGTAACTTAACTAAAAGTAAAGCAAAGATTTTTTTATCTGGAAACTACACAACCTTAATAAGTCTGACTAGTTTTGGAATTAGAAATAACTCACTATAGAGTTCTAAATTATTGAAAATTACCCAAAGTTTTATATGATTGTAGAATATTTCGTTATGGATTTTATCAATTCGTAAAACTACTTTTTTTTTTGCAAAACTGTTTTTTAATTGCAGGATGTTTAACTTTATATTTAATTGCACACGTTTTATTGATGAGCAATATTTCGAAATGAGTTAAAAAAAAACTTACAAATTACTAAAATAGAAAAATCTTACTCTAGAATGCATCAGAATAAATGTGATTTTAATATGTTTTAAGTTTAATGAATCTAAATTAAGTAATCGCTACTTTAATAAGCTTACAAAATAAAAGAAATTTATTCAAAAATATGAAATGGCTAACTACAGTGAAACTTATTAGGTGCAACCGCTCTCTGTTACGAGAAAAATCAGTCATTGAAAGGGGTGGTTGATCCTCGAATGATCTACATTTTCCGAAACAATTTACCCAAAACTATATTTAAATTTCAGAAACATATTTAAATTTGTGGCTAAAATAATTACATTAAAAGTCACACTTAGTGTTCATAAGAGAACATTAAAGACACTGTATACGACATTATTTGTAAATTGCTGTGTTTTATTTAAACCAATAAATGGTAATTAATATTTATCTCTTTTTTTTCTTTTTTTCAATCCCTACTTTTAGTTCACACTCTTCCTATATCTTGTTTCTAATTTTCAATCGTTAATAAAATACTTTTTATTTGTCCACTCAAGTACAAATACACTTTTTTGAATTTGTAGTGGGTGACACTTGATGTAAATACAGTTTTTTCAAACATTAATTCATTCATTAAATAGGGATGAGCGAAGAACGAAATGCAATTTTCTGATTGGTTAAACATTAGTCATTGTTTTAAATTTTACTTTAAGCAATTCAGTTTTTCACATATTTAAAAAATAACATCAGTGATGATTTCTAACATATAGCTCTATCTGAACCAAAAAATTTGTTTATTGCGCACATTTAACTATTTAATAATTTTTTATTCTCTGTGTCAGATAAATTCAATAAAGAAGATTTCATGGTAGCACGTGTGGTCCATTTCACCAAATTTATACTTTTACAGTTATCTGATACCACGTGCCTTTTATCTTTTCAATTCCTACTATTAATTCACACTCTCCCTATATATATTTATGTAACTTGTTCAAATTTTAAATCATTAATGAAATACTTTTTATTAATTCATTGATTAAATTTAATTAATTAATTTTAGTTTTATATGGGAGAAAAAATTTTAATTACTGAATAAAAAGTAACTAAAATAAAAAAAATTCTTTGTTAACCTAATCTGGTATTCACTATTTTTATATTACTTGTTTTTAGTTCACCTTCAAAAATTCCTGTCACCAACAAAGCATTCAAGAAAGCTATGCACGGAACTAATATCAATCTGGCAGCTAAAGCCGTTAAGTATCAAATGATGCAGGTATCATCGGAGAGTGATGCTGCTCAAGCATCCTCCAATATGCAGATCTCAGAGAATATTGGGGACAGCCATTTAGCGGATGCTGTTCCTGTTCCGACTCAGAAGAATGCATACAAAGAGAGCCTCCGGAACACAGCAGGATCCTCCCCACTCGATGGATATGAATTTTCAAAGACAATGCTTTCTCCTGGGACATCTCCTACTTTGAAGGTTTGGATTTTTCTGAAATGTCTAAGAGAGGAGGGGAAAGTAGTGGTTTCTTTGATCTTAGAAATTTTTTTTACAATGAGTAAGGAGACATTTTGAATAAAAAAATTTTAAAAAAATCAAAACAACATAACTTATTTTGTCTGTAAAACATCTAAAGTTAACAATTTTAAAGAAAAAATATCTTAATAGTACTATATGTTAACTTGAAATTAATATTTAATGGGAAACATTTTGAATAAAGATTGTTTTCTTTTAAAAAAAAGTCAAAACTGCATAACTTACTTTGTCTGTAAAACATCTTAAGTTAACATTTTTAGAGAAAAAATTTCTTTATAATACTATATGTTAACTTGAAAATTAATATTTACTGAATTAATATTAACTTTCAAGTTAATTTTTAATTAATTATTTTTGATATTCACTTATTTTTTTTAATTTAAATTTCATTAATATTTACTCTTGTTTGTTGTATATACAGAGATGATTGTGTTCTAGATTTCCGGATTTTTCTCTAACCGCATTAAGGAAATTTCCGGAAATCCAAGGTCCAGAAATTTCAAGAACATTGCATTTATGTATAAAAATTCTTGTATATTTTGTTAAAAAATATTAGAACTAGAATTTATACTTGGAATCTCTTTCATTTGTAAATATTTTTTCTGGTAGAATAATAGATGTGATCAGAGATAAAAGTGAATAATTATCAATTTAAATTATCAATTAAAGTTATGGTTCGATAATTATCAATTTAAGTTATGGTTCATATTATTTATTTGGAATTTCTTGTTGTGAAAATATCAATGATTTAAATTAATAAAGACATTAGTTTTTTGAAATGCCTCATTAATGATGTTACTCAAGAAATTTTCAGGATTTTTGAGTTGGCCTCACAATCCCCCCTGATTTTATTAATTTATATTTTTGCTATTCACTTAATTTTTTTCAATTTAAATTTCATAAATATTATCAATAATATTTACTACTGTTTGCTGTGTATAGATATAGTAATTATAATTTTCATTTGTTTTGAATTGAAAAAAGCTTTAGTTTTGCTTGTAGAAAATCTTATACATTGTTCTATATGCCATATAAAAAAATATATTAAAAAGAAACAGAATTTGTAAAAAAGAATAACTAAATAAATGCTTGCATCTTTTACCACGCATTGAAAGTCAAACTTCCATTACTAAGAATGCTTACGGGTAAGAACAGAAAAGTGACAAAACTAAATAACTATGATAGAATTTAATTGTGTTTTGAACTTCAGAAATAAAATGATGAAAAAGGATATTTTTTAGATTAAAAAAAAAGTAGCCATTTTTCTTGTTTTTCGAAATCTTTACAAATTGAATTCAAAGACTTTTAAATGTCTTAAATATTTTTTTTACAAGGTGCTATTGTTTTTTTATTTGTTTTTTTACCACATGCTATTATATTTTTATTACTATTATAGATGACACTATCATTATTTATGATTTTTCATGCATAAAAAAGTATTTCAAGCTGGCTGTTATCTGTACTCAAAATTGTTGAAACAATGCTGATTTTCTCAAAGGGTTTAGGCAGTTTTGATTTTATCAAGAAAGCATAAATGTTTAACTTTTTTCAATCCTCCATCACTTATTAAAAAAAATTTATAAATCTGATATTTTATACTTTATCATAAGCAAATATATTATTTAACACTTTTGTGAGACAATGCTACAAATTTTTATAATTTAATTTTTGTAAGGTCTAATATTTGAGGGGGAATTACTAGGACATCATGATAAAATTGTGTTAAAGACTTGATTCAACTTTTAAAGGCAGCCTAAAATACAGTTTTTAAAACAGCTTAAAGAAATTAAAATTTAAAAGTACTTTTTAATTTAAAAATTATTAGTTTTTAATAATACTCTTTTATTTTGTATTTAAGTACCAATTATCAAATAATATTATTATGTTATGAAATTATAATAAAATTTGCTATTAATTTCAGGATTCTGTCCCTCTTTACACTGAAAGGAATAGAAAAGACTCAACTAACTCTTCTGGAAGTGATCCTTTCCGAATAACAGACTTAAGCTCAATGACTCCACCTTCAGGTACTCCACTATGAAGTTTTCTTTGTGAATCAGGGGTTATTGTATTCCGGGTTTTTTGTATCAGTTTTCCAGGTCTTAAAATAGAAGCATGCAATTTTTGCACAAATATCACAAAATTCTACTTATCTCAAGACCATTGCTGTGAATCAAAAACTTAAAATCGAACAAAATTTTTAAGCTTTTTCTAAATCCCGTTAACGAGACGTTCACGTGAAGAATTACTTCATATGTGATTTTTTTGCAAGTTTGATTCTTTTGGTTTAACAGATTTTTGCCATTTTGAATATTTGGAACTGCGTCAGAAGTATTGCGATGCTTATTTGCATGCTCTGACAGTCAGACTGCTCTCTCTAATCACTATTGAGGTGTAAATTCACTCGTGTGGGAGTGTTTCTCGGCCTCTGTGACCTCTCTACTCATAACAAGGTATATTTACATTGGATACCTGAACATGTGAGCATTCTTGGAAATCAGTTAGCTGACGAAGCAGCACAGAATATCTCCCACATTATTCAAGCTCTATGGCAAAATTGCCCATGAGCAAGGGCGCAACTCGAATGGTCAGAGACAAACTAAAGAGCTGTATCGTGACTGTCCTAGTGTACGACAGAAAGAGCTTCTTAAGTTAAACAAGAACAGTTTGAGAAGATCATTGGTCTTCTCACTGAATACTACACTATCAGAAGAATGGGTATTGAATCTGATTCTCTTTGTCGAGATTGTCATCTTCAGGAGGAGACTTCCTGACATATACTTTGTGATTGCGAGGTCTATTCCACTCAAAGATTTGAGCATTTAGGGCGCCATTGCATTAAGGCCTGGGAACTGCAAGATGTTCATTGAACTTCATTTCTGCTATAAAGCTTTGTTATTAATCATGATATAGGGTTAGGGTGCAATAGACCTCAGGTCGATTTGCAGTGCTCCTTGGAGCTGCCCAATCTCTTAAGTAATAATATTAAGTCATATATTTGAAATGCGGATTGCAAAATTACATTATCTTATTATTAGTAGAAAAAAAGTTTTTAAAAATTATGGAACAGTTTTTCTATATCTCTCCTCTTCTGCTTGGATGACAGCCTTACATTTTACGTTCTGTAGGGCAAATATCAATCATTAAATTACTTATGTGAACTGAGCAATATGATTAGAAGCATACTTAACATATTCTTCGTGCATCCACAACCCCTCTAAATTCTGTTGCGAATGAAAGTCTTCATATACATTTTTCAGTGACATTCTTTACTTATTGTTCAAAACAATAGAATCATTGTTCGAGTACTTAATTACTAAGCATATATTTTTATATCTACAGAAATATTTACCAATAGTATTAAATTGTTGCAGAAGTAAGATGCAGTTTTTTATTTTACAGTTCAATTTACGATTGGGACGCCCCCAACTGGAGGTAGACTTCGAAGCTTTAGCGGCAGCACCCCTCCTCCCGCTGGTTCAGGCAGGCAAACGCCCACAAGTTGGCGTCATCAAGCTGCAGCGCCACAGAATTATTCAACATCACCTCTTCGAAGATCTGGTAAGTTCATATTCTTTCGTTTTTTAAAAATAAGCTCGGAGTTGTTGATTTCATTTTCTTTCATTGGTCATAGTACTTTTTACTATATATACAGTGCTGATAATTCGTAAATTATGTTCCATTAGTCGCCCTTCAAAGGTTTTGTGGTTTGCTCCTCATGTATTATAACTCCTCATGTAAGTGTATTACTGATTTCCCTCAAATTCACCACAGCTGGAAACAATTTACCTAAAGAGAATTTTTCTCTGTGCTGATGAATCATAAGTTATGTTTCAATTTTCCATGAGTCTTCTTTGAAAGGTTTTTATGGTTAGCTTATTGTGTAATACAAATATAGAGATGTAAGTTAATACCACTCAAATTTACCACAGAATTTTTCACGAATTCTTTTCACTTTGGATTCAATTAATCTGTTAGTACATTTAGAGCTCGAAGTTGGCCACAAATTCCTTTAATTTCTTTAAATTTTAAAAATTTATATAAATGTACAGAAATATTTGATTTTCTAAATTTTTGTTGAAATGGTATGAATAAATAATAAATAAAATGTAAATACTTTATTTAAAAAAATATTTTCAAATTACAAAAAATACACATAAATTTTGTTATACACCATGTTGCATAGCATATAATGAAGACAGAAGTTAGAAGGCATTTTTTTAAATATTTGGATTTTAGTAACTGATATGCATTCCAAATATGTAATGTTGAAACATGTATCATGTAGTTTCATCTAGACACAAATTCTAGAATTATCCTGGTTTCAGGAAATAAGACTCGTTTACATATCCAAAGAGAACATTTATTTACACCAAACACAACAGATTCCACACCCCCAGCTTGTTCTCTTTAAATACAGCTGTTTGAAGAAGATTACGTAAAAAGTAAATATCAATTCCACGTCACAGAATTTATACTGTGAAGATCGGGACCACTTCAGTTCGATTAACGAGAAATAATGAACGATACGGCAACGACGCCACAGGGTTCCCCAACGCAATCTGGAAGACAGTCACACAGAAAATTTCACATGGTTAATCAGGGTTTCCACTCCACGGGAAAATACAGGGAACTTAAAAGTCACCTAAAATAACAGGGAATTTTGACTTTTATTCTTTACAAACTGTGAAAATACAGGGAATGTTGTTTCTTATTTTTGTTATTTAAAAAATTGTGACCGCTCAAAGCATAATCTATGAGATATTTAAGAATGATATTTCAGCTTTACTAATCTACTTCATTTACTATAGCATTATTTAAGTATGTTCAGCTATTTTTCCAGCAATTAAAACTAATAAATAAAGTTAGCTCACAGAAGAGCATGGTGATTGTGTTTTTCCTCTTATTATATTGCATATATTATATACAGTGAGAACACATGGAATTTTTTTTCCAGATTTGAGTGGCAACCGTGTTAATTTTTATCTCAGAGAGCTGAAATGCGGGCTTCAATCTATCTATGCCAACACATGATTAAGTTTTACTCGTTACTTGTATTTTTTTTCCCTTTTGTTCACTTATTTCAAATATTCACTTCTTCATACTGTATCACTTATATCGAAACACCTTTTTTTATTATTTTTATTAAAGCAGTTTTTTTATTTTTTTAGTCCTTTGAGAAACAAAGAATACAATGTTGAATTCTGATTAATTTTTACTCGTTATTTGTATTTTTTTCTTTTGTTGTTTTTTTTTATGATTTTATTTATAATTTTTAAATTCTTTTGACTACACTATTCATATCTCCAGGGTCAACACCTCCTACCAATTATTGCAACCCCTACCCAACTTCTGTTTCACCAGTTAGCTGCAGGGACATGAGGAGATGCGAAAATCGCAGAATTGAGCATTCTGCTAACCGATGTTTAGATTTCAGGAATATATCAGGAGTGGGCAGAGCCATGACTCTTCCTGAATTCAGTACAAGAGATGTTTGGCCAAGTATGCAATATTTTTCAACACCATTCCAACACATTTTTTTTTTTAATTTGAGTAATGCACTTAAGTGGATTATGTTATTTTTATTAATGTTTCATTAATGTATCTGATATACATTTCTTAACTAATATTTTTTATTTGAATATATCATATTGGGCCAAATACCTTTAAATTATTAACACATAGCTGCTAACATGGATAGGAATAAATCCAGTAGATTTTACAAAATAACATGAATTCCGTGATAATTGTTGCATAATGTACTAAATATTTTAAACAAAGGGAATTTTAGGGATTTTTATAGTCATCAAAATAGAGAAATTACAATTTTTTCCAGTTATGTTTGACATTAAGCATACTTAAAACGTTTTGTATTATGTTTACTCATAATTTTGAATATTAATAGGCATTTAATTCTTCTAGGATAGTTAAAGAATTTTTTTTAATTAAAAAGAGAGTTTTGAATAAAAGTAAACTGAACTTTTTAGAACAAAAAAAGTTTTGAATGTATTAGTGATACTTATTTAGTATTACTAATACATTCAGTGACTGTATTAGTAATACTTATTTAAATATTCGTGCAAGCAAGCAATAATCTGTGCAAAACTTCTATTTCAATAGGGAGTTTTTTAGGAAACTTACTAATTTTAGGGAAATTTCTAAAATGTACTAAAACCAGAAGAATTTTAATTAAACCTGTAAGACCAGGAGAAATTGGCAAAATCCAGTAGTCTTCTGGAAAATCCAGTAGAGTTGGCAGCTATGTTAACATTTATTAAAACTTTTCAAAACAGCATTGAGCAAAAACGAGAGTTACTCATATCTGAAAAAAAAGAGAGCCTTCACTCATCAAACTGTTAGGAATATTATGAAAGGAAAATGTAAAATTGAATGATGAATGTGGAAAATAAAGAAGGAAAAAAAAGAGATCAAAATCAAATATTTCGAAGCAGATAAAAAATATATCTTTTTTATTTTCAGTGTTGTATTTATTCATAAATTTTCCAATAAATCCAGTCCAAATTTTCCAAGAATCCATTTCGGAATGGCATATTACTTGGAAAAAGATTTTAACGTCTTAAAATTTAAAAACTTAAAAAAAATCAGAAGTGCAGAGAGACATACTTAGAAATATATTCATTACAACTTGATGAAGGAAGAATAATTCTTTTACTCATTTTTCTAAAAAATTTCTTCTTAAATGTGAAATTTACAAAAAATCAGAACTCAGTAATGCTGTGTACATTTGAAAAAGAATTAAGCCAACTTTCGGCGCCGTCTGAGTTTGGACTCTTAAATTTAATACAAGAAAGTGTGTGGCCAAACATGCAATGAGTTTTTTTTTCCCCAACATCATTCTACTAATTTTTTTTTATTTATTTGAGAAATGAGATCAAGTATTTACATTCTCTCTTGTGTCAATTAACATTCCGTTTATGTATTAACTGAATATATTTATTTTATTTTAATAAGACATAATTGGCCAACTATATTATGTCATCCATAAGTTTTTGCACCAAATTACTCGTTACATAAAATTGCAGAATTGGCTCTGCTGTTAGCTGATATTTAAATTCTAAACTAGTATCTCCTGGTTGAATACTTATCACTATATATCTAGAGATAAATTTGGAAATGACTGTGTCAACATAACTCATCTTAAAATTAGTACTGTCTTCCTATCAAGAAAACTCCACCATACTCTCACATTGAGTGTTATATGTGTAAAAAGAAGGTCACTTTGAATTTGATCAGGATTGGTCAATTGTTAGATATGAAAATTGCTGAAATTGGTACCTTGCCAGTTGATGTTAATATCCCAGAAACATATCTCCTAGAGCCGCTTTTGGGGTAGGCACGACTCTTTATTTCGGTACTATTCTATTATCGAGAGAACTCCACCAGACTACACTGACTTTGACAATAAATTCAAGGACAAGTCACTATAAATAAGAGAGTAGCGAGAAAAAATGAACGATTATTCAATTTAAATTGTTCTTAATGATTAATTTACAATAATTCTAGAGAGTCAACTTTATACATTAAAAACTGTCAAAGTAACCTATTTTGAAGTTAAAATGGAATGTCTTTTATAATTTCTCTATTTACTGTAACCTACTACTTACATTTACTACTACTTTTTGCCTTCTTGTACAATTATTATTTATCAACTTCATGCTTTAAAAAATATGAAAATGTACTGTTTTCAAGTAAAAATATAGCTGCCTGATATAATTTATCTACCTATTTTAAAACATTTCATTTTTAATCAGAATTGGAAGTTTTTACTCACTTTCTATCATACTTTATTGTTAACTATCTTCATAATTACATTTATAATTACAAATGTTTCATGATTACATTATTAATTTTTATTTATTTATTTTGAATTCTGGACAGAAATAAAATCATGGAAACCTATTTAAAGTCATCTAATTTTTGTCCTACAAATAAATTGGTTTCCGATATTAATCCCTCTCATGTAAAAGATTCACTTCATTCATATTTTGTTTAAACAAAAAAAAATTCTTTTTTTTTTTTTGTTAACAAAATTTTTTCTTATTTAAATATTGATTTATTACACTGATAATTTAGGTTTTTATAACTTCAGCTTAGTTATAGTTTAAGTTATTATAATTTTATCTCAAGTCCATGATATTCCTATTTTTTCATTGCTTTCTTTTTTTAATTGTTTTTAGACCTTATTTTTTGTTATATTTTACTGCTGTTGTGGAATAGAAACTCTATCATGAATTTTCTATTATAAACTTTTAGATATTGTATAAAAATTAATAGAAAAAAAAGCCAGAGATGGGAGTAATGCTCTACCAGTAGCTGTAGACTCTAATTTCTTTTTCATATGTTGGTTGTGGAATTCTCTACTTTTTGAAAAAGTAGTGTACTGAATGATGTAACAAAATAAAAAATTAAAAGTAAAAAAACTTTAGTTAGGAGCAAATATTTCAAATAAAGTCCATTAATGGTTGCAAAGAGAATATCCACATTATTTATTACTTTTTTTTTTACTTAAATAAAGATTTAAATAGACAACAAATTCACATAAACTTGAAATAAAAATATTCATTGTCAAGAGTGATATAAAAAGTCAAAAGAAAACGTCTGTAAAGAATGAATTAGCTCATTTATTATTCTAAATCAATTTTTACTAATTCTTTTCTTTCAATATAAGCTTTTTTTTATCATTTTGAACATGTGTATAAATTGAATCCTCCAAAAAAAATTCATCTCCATTATGTAGTTAAGTAGTTACTTCATTTCAAAAGTAGTTCATAATCACTGCATTTTTTTAAAAAAAAAAAAGTAATTGTAGTTAACTACATTTTCTATGTAGTAATTTTTCTGACTGCTGAAAAAAACTTTAAAATCATGGATTGATTAAAATTGAGATCAGTTGCTCACAAATAAAATTTTTCAATGTGGTTTTAAGGAGGATATTTACCAATCAAATTTAATAAAGTTATAGTTGTGTCCATCAAACTATAGTTAATTTTGCTATGTGAGTCCTTCATGTTTAAATCAATAGTATTACTTCTGTGTGGTTATATAATCTTATTTAATTTAAACTTTGTTTATCAACATTCTATTATCTTCATTCCAACATTCTATTATCATCAAACTATAGTTAATTTTGCTATGTGAGTCCTTCATGTTTAAATCAATAGTATTACTTCTGTGTGGTTATATAATCTTATTTAATTTAAACTTTGTTTATCAACATTCTATTATCTTCATTCCATTGCGTTTCTTGAATAATGTATTTAAAATAGCTAATTTCAATGTGTTGTAAATTATTTTCAATATTTTATTTATTTTTTCTTCCTTTTTGCATGCTAAAGCCTGTTTTATGCAACTACAGTGAAACCTCCCGGAAAGACCACCTCTATGTATCGGCCTTATCTATTTACGACCACTTTTGGGAGGCACTGAACTTTTTCCATAGATTTTGTGATAGATTCAAGAAATATATAGATAATAGATTCAAAATTCAATTCTACCGTAGATTCAAGAAAACCTTTAAAAGAGGCCATTAAAACCTCTCCCAGCGACTGGGCAAACCTCTGTACCAAATACGAAAAAGGTTAAATAAGGAAACACTAAAAAATAGCAAAACAGAAAATTTAACAAAACAAATAAGTGGATTAAAGTAAATTCAAACTGTTTGCATGAGACTCTTATTTAGCGAGCTCTCTTTCACAATAAAACTTCATGCTACAGTCAGAGTGCTCTATAGACAATGTTATTAATGGTTTAACTTTTAGAGTTGAAAGTTATTTTAGATAAAACAAGCATCGCAAACAAACACACCTCTTCTCATCTTTTAAAGCTTACTGATTTTTATGATATGAAATGAAATGCAAGCTTAGACAAAAAACATAATTGTCTCTTTTAAATAGCTTTATCATTCATATTTGGTAAATTTGTTTCTACACATAATTTTATCAGTTGGGATCATTTTTATGGATGCTAAATTTAGTTCATCGATTCGTCTTTTCACTACTCCAACAGAAGTGGTATTTCCGTCTCAAGAAAATTTCACTGACTGCAATTAAAATCGTTTACAAAAAATCATCAACCTTCAATAAAAGTTTTGAAGTCAATTTAGGTAACCTATGAGAACGATCAACTGTGGAGCGGAGAGTGATCGCTCCCGAGAGGTTTCACTGTATTTGAACTGTTACGGTCCAGTATATACTGTTACATCTCCAGGTGTTTTATTTGGGGAGCAGTGCTTGCAAGCTTGGTTGCAGAACTTGTCAAATCAATCTGCAGCACAAACTTCATAAATCCTCTTATGTCTGAAACTTAAGCACTGTCAAGCAATGGTTATTATTGTAAATTTAAACTTAACATAACATTGTGTACAGCAAAATTTTCACATATAATGCTAACAAAATTATATAAATTGATTAATTTTTTTTAATTAACAGTTTTATACACTTTTAAATTAATGGAATAATGAGAATTTAATCGCTCCCTTTAGCAATTATTTTTGGAAAAAAATCATATTTTTTTTTTATTTCATTAATAAATACAAGGAACTAAACCGTAACATAATACACCAGTTTTAAGTTGAAATTTAAATTTTTTTATGTGTATAAGGCATTTAATTTACCATCAGTTACTATCCTGAGTCATCTCGGGCGAAGAAAAAAGTTAAAATATTAGTCTTTGTATATGTTCACATCTTCATAATCTGAAAAATCGTTTTTTGCTTCCAGTCAAGTAAAAATGTGATTAAACAAAACGTGCTTACAAATTCTGCTTTCGGGATAGTAAATATTTGTAATTTATGTATACCAGAGTTAACTCTGGACAATCAGGGAAGCGGTTAAGGAACAGTATAAATACCCTACAAACAGTTAACTAGAGTTTTTGTAAATTGATCATTATTTTTTAAATTATTCTTGTTTCAAAATTTCCATTAAAAAAATTTTTTTTTAGAATTTTTAAAAATCAAATTTTTTAAACTTACTTATCTGCAGATTTTACAAACAAAGTTTGTTACTAACGTTAATGATCTGGAGCAAAATGAGTAATTGTATAGGAATCAAAAGTTATTTTCTTGTTTTGCCTCTCAATAATTTTTTCTATTTCTTTTTTTTTTTTTTTTTTTTTTTTTTTTTTCAAAAGGGAAAAAAATCAGCAGCACTCACTGCCCTGCTGAAATGTATCTGTTTCCGAATTTGCAAGCAATTTCATGTTTAAAATTTACAGGGTGCGTAGCGTTTTTAAAAAGTGCTTAAAGGTGCTTATTTTCAACTTTCGTAATTTAAAAGCCCTTAAAAGTGCTTTTTTCATTGGGTGTTTTTAAAAATGCTTAATTTTCACTTTTCGAAAAAGAGATTTTTTTCTTTTTCTTTACCATGTCGATTTTTGCCACGTACTATGCAAAAGAGTGGTTTTCACATTGTTTTATTCAAAGTTTTCACAATTCATTGAAACACAATGCATTTAGGCTTACCTTTGGTTGGTCCGTAGCGTATGAAAGCACCAATCCTATTACATGCTTGATGAAACATTTAGTCCCTATGTGTGTCAATTGAATTGAGTTCGGTGAGATTATTGCACTCTCATGTGTAACTCTGCTGCAAATTCCCTCTGATTTCGAACCGAAAAACCTCTTATCTTTTTATAATGACTAATATAATCAAGAAAAGAGTTCTTTGTCAGAAACTAGTTATTTTATCATGATCACGTAAAGTCTTTAGAAATTATTTTGTTGATGTATATAGTGCTTAAAAATGCTAAATTAGTGCTTAAAAAGAACTTAAAGGTGCTTATTTTTTGTTATAAAATTTGGCTACGCACCCTGATTTAACCCACTGGCGGTTAAGGAAATGGTCAAAATTGGGAGAATGTTTCTCCCCTACACACAGTTCCCCTATCAGTTAACATGGGAAAACCGGTTTTGCTATGCAGAGAAGACTGCAGGTTAAAATGCGACTTTTTACGTGCAGAACCGTCAGTGGGTTAAAATAAATATTGATATGAGTGAAATGTTGATTATCCCGAGTTAATTCAGATATGTATAAATTGCAGATATTTATTGCCCTGAGAAAACTCGGCGTAGCAGAATTTGTTAGTATGCTTCATTTTATCATGTTTTTACTCGGACAGAAGTTAAACTTTTTTCATTTGCTTGAGATAAATCAGGATAATAAACTGATGTTAAATGTTTTTTATACATAAAAAATTTAAATTTCAACTTAGAACTTGTGTGTTATGTTTTATGTTAGTTCCTTGTATTTATTAATGTAATTTAAAAAAATCGGTTAGGGAAGCGATTAAAGACTAACAATGTGCACACTATTTTAGTCCTGTTATTATTCATTCCGACATCATTTCTCAATATTGACAGTTATTATAAAAGCATCTTAAAATGTAATATAATACTGTAATAAAATACAAATGAATTATTGCAGGTGGAAGAATACCTGAAGCTGAAGGCTTAAATTTCATCCAGAGGTCGGGTAGTTCAGGCAGACTAAGTGATACTAATCTTCTTATGGGTCATTTTGCCTTAAGTGGTAATGGAGGTAGGGTTTTTTCTTCCATATAAAAGAAAGCGTCACTGCCTTTAATAAAAATGAAAAAAACTGATACTTCCATTAAATACTAAAAAAATAATTTATGCTTTGAACAAGTTAAAACTTTTTTTCTCTTAATTTATTTTGTCATATTTTTATTCTGATACTAATCTTCTAAGTGATACTAGTCTTTTCATGGGTCATTTTGCCTTAAGTAGTAATGGAGGTATGTTTTTTTTTCCTTATAAAAGAAAGTGTGACTGCATTTAATAAAAGTATCAGTTTTTTTTTTGTTTTCTTTTTAAAAACTGATACTTCCATTAAATACTAAAAAAATATTCTATGCTTTTAACAAATTTTTTTTCTCTAGATTAATTTATCAGATTTTTATTCTGAAAAGGTTTCTATCAAACTTTAAAAGTTATTAATTGTAGTGTGAAAACTAGTTGATTTTTGGTCTTTAATTTTCCGGGGGGAAAGACATTTGATGTTTTGAGTATTGGATAATTTCAAAATGTTGTGCCTTTAACTGTTTTCTTAATAAATTATACTTTTTAAAAATAAGTGAATTTGCAAGTTTTTTCTCCCCTTAAGTGCCTTCAATCAATTCAAATCGATATTCACAAACTTCATGTGAAGGAAAGAATTTTTTTAAAAAACTCTTAATGAGGTAGTAAGCTGTTATACTTAATTTAAATATAATATCTTACTCTGTTCATTCTAACTGATAATGAAAGATTCTATATCATTGCCTACCCAAAGAAGTATTCAGTGATGGTGAAAGCACCTCATGAGTGTGGGGCTCTCTCCCACCCTGTATTCGTGTGTGTATATGTATAGCACAACAAATACAAAAAGAGAAAAACGAAAAAAATCAATAAGTTTTATTTACTGTGCACAAGCTGCAAGTTTATAGAACTCAGAAAATAAGCTCAAAATGTAGAGAAAACATGGAGAGAGAAAAATGACAGAATAATGAAAAAAGAGGGGGGAAATATATGTATTTTTTGAGTGCTCCTCACACTGTTGTATTGATATATTTTGCTTTGGTTATATTGATATAATATTAGAAAGCTCTCCTTTTTGCGGGTATAATCGTGTGAGCTGATGAAGAATTATATATTTCTTTCTTTTTTTTTCATTATTCTGTAATTTTTCCATGTTTTCTTTAGATTTTGAACTTCATTATCTAAACTTCATTCATGTAAATTTATTTACACAAATATTGAGCGAAAAATTGTCATCTTAGAAGGAGCTGTATCTTATAATCTATAAAATATGAGGGGGCTTAAGTCCCCTAGCCCCCCCCCCTCGGTTCCACCGTCCTTGATAGTGTTAAAAGTAAGAAAATATTTTTGACAAATACTCATTTCATGTTTCATTTAATCAGTGGTGTGCAAAGATGTTTGAAACAAACTCCTCTGTTTTATGTTCTATTCGATACATCGAATAGATTCTCTACTAAATGTGGGCTCTATTAGATATAGTGCAATTAACCCTCCTGGCGTCAAGCCCGTTATANAAGGGGAAAGTATACCTTTTGTCCGACCCTCGACACTTTTCGTGGCATCTTTCTAAAATGTGTCTGCCGCTTGTAGTAAGAAACTAAGAGAGAGGGGAAACGCCAGGAGGGTTAATGAAGGAACAAACCTTATATATATTTAAAGAAAGCATAAGATTGATTCATTAAAATTTAAAGTATATATTTTAAATTCGCTTATATATGAATATATCTGGAGAAAAAAAATTTATCTGTAAAAATTGTTTTAATGACCTGCAACTTCATTATTACATTTGCGTAAAAATAATACTATATTTTGAAAAAATCATATTATGTTGCATAATATATTTCGCTTAAGAAAAGTATTTACTCATTAAAATATTCAATCTTAATAAATATAATAGTAGTAATAGATTTATAGTTCTAGTCTACTTTCGAGTTGATTAGATGCCCTTTCTGTACAACTTAGCCTTTAATCAATATTTAAACTATGAATAATATTATTTATTAATCATAAAAACATCAAATCGGATAGAGCATTTGCCTTCCAATGAGGTGAACCAGGATCAAATTCCAGCGATGGCTAGTCAATAGGAATTTTGCACCTGGCTCACACCAACTACTGTGCCGACGTGAAATATTCTCAGTGGTGGAGATATCATGGGTTAGAGTTCCCTTGCCGCCAGGCTTACCGTGTGAGGTTTTCGTGGTTTTCCTCCCCATGTAACTCAAATGCAGATTAGTTCCATAGAAAAGTCCGCCACTAAAGCAACTTCCTCCCAATACTTGGTTCAGAAGGTCCCTTGTCTTCTGGATTGGATTCAAAATTACAAGGACGTTTAGCATCGGTAGCCGTGAACTCAAAATTGGGTCGACTGTTTAACGAAGGTTATTAAATAAAATAAAGTCATAGAAAATAATCTCTACTGTAAAAAAGCAATGCATTCTTGTTTTGTGTAGATTCCCTTTAGAGAGCTTCACTATAAAACTATTTAATTAATATAATCTTTGTTAACCTGTTTTCATCTGTCACCACAAAATAGCATAAATTTTCCTCCAAGTTTTTTATTGTTTGAATTCTTTCTTTAGCTTCTCCTAGCCCTCCACTTCCATCTTTGCTGGCATTTAATGTTCAGCAGCAGAAATATACTCCCAGCTGCCAACACCATTGTTGTTGTGGAGGCCAGAGCTCCCCCGGAAGAATTCGACGCAATTCCTACACAGGCGCGTACAGTGATTCGTCTCCTACGTGCCACTACTTTCCCCACAGTGTTTCTCCTTCAAGCTTGGAAGGCCTCTTCATACCAGAACTACCTGAAGAGACTCTGCTTGAGGTACACAAAATATTTTTTGTATATCTTTAGAAAACAAGTTGTTTAGACAGGGTTGCCGCTCCAGAGGATAATTCACAGAAATTTAAGAGTCACCTAAAATAACAGAGAATTTTGTTTCATAATTTTGTCTTTTAAAAAATGGTGACCACTCTATATGCGATATATGGGAGGGATTTTTAAGGATGATATTTCAGCTATGCTAATCTGTTTCATTTGCTGTCTCATTATTTAATTTAAGTGTGTTCTTTTTTTCAATTCACACTCTCCCTATATCTTGTTCAAACCGTTATTAAAATACTTTTTATTCATCCACTCAGCTTCAAATACATTTTTTTAAACTTCGAGTGGATGACGTTAATGCAGTTTTTTCGATTAATTCGTTCATTAAATTTTAATTCATTAATTTTAGTTTTATATAGGAGAAAAATTTTTTTTTATTCATTGAAAAGTAACTAAAATAAAAATTCTCTTTATTGACCTAAGTAGAAAGTGACTTTATTAATTTTTTTTAAATATTATTTGTTCTCTTAAGTTTTTTCAGCAATTACAACTGATATAGTTTACCCAATACAGTTCACACAAGATCACAGTGATTGTGTTTTTCCTCTTAATATATTGTGTATAATACGTACAGGGAAAACACAGGGAATTTGTTTTACAGATTTGAGTGGCAATCCTGCAATAAACTCCACAGTTTTTATTTGTTTAGGCGCCTAAGCAGAAGCAACTCCATTATTTGAAACGTTTACAATCCCTGGGTTAAAGTTCATCAATCCTTTACAGCAGTGTTCCCCAACCCCCGATCCTCGGACCGGTACTGGTCTGTGGATCAAATGATACTGGGCTGCCCATTTCACTGAAACTGAATTTAAATCCCTTGGTTTATACCCCTAATTAAAAATATCTGTGCTACATTAAAATTTTATTTATTTAAAAAAAAATAGGCTCCCCGAAGGTAGTGACATAAATTTTTTAATGTTTGTAATGTATCATTGTCTCCGATTAACCCCAGATGGAACCGTCTCATTGCAAAGAAACAGACTCAGGGTTCTCATAGTTTTAACGTTCTAGTAAGTTAAAATGTTAAATCACTTTATATTTTGGATAGGTTCAGAACAACATTTTTCTTTTAATAAAAAATGCATTTTGGAAAAGAGCCATACTAGCCATATGAACACTTTACTACTGTTTTTACTACTATTCGTTAAAGAACAAGTTTGGTTCATATTGTATTTTAATTTAGAAAGCGTTTTTTTTTTCGAACTTTTGTATTTTNCATGGAAAGTCATGAATTTCAGTGTTGAACAAAATTTGTCATGAAATGTCATGATTTTAATTAATTTTTATTTTTTAAAAAAAATCAAGGAAAGTCATGGATTTAGGTTGCCGAAAAATCTAATTTTTAAAATGAAATGTACTCCCCCCCACACACACGCATCCAATTTCATGGTGTTCCGAATATTTTAATTTCTAACGAAATCCCCACTCACAGTCATATTTTATTAAAATATTAAATGTTTTTATCCTGTTATTTAAAAATTATGATGTTCTTTAAAAAAAATTAAAGAAAAAATATCATTTCTAGAGCGAATTATCTTTTAAACGTCTGTGATTTCAAAATTTTTATTATTATTTNTTTTTTTATTCCGAAATGAGAACAGATAAATCAGGAGTATTTCTTTCCTCTCCGATGAACAAGAAAAGTATCTTTAGAATATAATTCTGCAGAAAAAAAAGAAAAATTAATTATTTTCCTTTTGTATTTTTTTCAGCTATTTTATTGCTTCAACTTTTTCTTTACTCTGTTTTTTAAATTTAATGTGATTAATGTTATTATAATACTTTTTAAATTTATTGTTGTGTTTTTGTCGGGGGAAATAATAAATTCCTTAAGTCATGGGTTTGAAGATCTAAAATGTAGCAGATACCCTGCCTTTACTATTAAAAAAATAATAATAAATAGATAAATAGCCAATTTATCTAATATCTTTTGTTATTATTTAAGTTTTGATAAGCTTTGCAAGAAACAAATTTCAGAGAAAAGTGACGTCGTCGTATCTTTAATAAAATAATGATTTTCATGTTTAACTTTAATTTTTTTGTGGGGAAAGAATGTAATACAATTTCGTCTTTAAACTTTTTCCTGCTTTTATGAAATGCTTAAATTTTGCTAAAACTAATATTTCTCTCTTATTATTTAATATATTTTGTTTGTTTTATTACATAATTTTTCGAAGACATAATTTATATTAAATGATTTTTTTATAGAAAGAACACAATGACACTTTGGCCAAACTTAATTTTGTATCAGCATTAGTAAAGTGCATATTAGAATTAGCCAAAACTAGAAGCTCACCTTTATCTTCTGCTTTATCCAGTTCAATTGCAAGAACAGATGTAAGTATTGAAATTAGTTGACATTGGATACAGTTGCTTGTGTACTATGTATTGTTTTATGTAAACCATATAATTGTTTTGATTGAGGTGGTTGCAAGACAAATGGGCTTAGTCATAAATGTAGAGAAAATGAAATATATGTTATTCTCAAGAAACAGAGTCCCAGACCCCTATGTTAAAATAGATTCTTATAGATTTGAAACAGTAAGGAGTTTTACTAACTTAGGATCAATTATTACTATTAACAACAGAATGAGTCCTGAAAATAAAAACGACTCTAAGATAGAGTCGTTTTTATTTTTATTTATTTTTATTTTAAATAGGACTGTCTATGGGCTGAGAAGATTTATTAAATCATCTTCTTTCTAGAAAAACAAAGTTCTCAATCTACAAAACTCCTATCAGGCCAGTCTTGGCATCTGTAGCTTGAACAATAAAAAAATTGGAGGAAAATTGTATCGCAATATTTGAGAGAAAGATTTTGCGGCAGTTATTGGTGTAAATGAAAACAATAACTGGAAAAGGAGATTGAACTTTGAACTGTACAAGATTTATAAACAACCCAATATTATTAAATAGATAAGAATAAATAGAATGAATTGGATGATCCACGCGATTCGAATGAGTGATGACAATACAATAAAACAGGCTGCTTTTTAAACCCACTGGAACAAGAAAGCGGGGAAGACCAATGTTGAGATGGGCTGACTCGGTGGAGTCTGATTTTCTTGCAATTAATGTAAAGATCTGGAGATGAAAGATAAATCGAAAGTCATTACGCAGGAGTCTGTCCACACATTTTGTGAGAGGTCCTATTTTTGTAAAATTGTGAAAAAACTATTCATAATTTGTGGGTATAAAATTAGCGTTAAGTCACATTCTCTCAACCAAAGTGCTGCTTTTGTGAATTTGTGCAAATAGGGTTTTGTTATTGCAAAAATTTCTTAAAACCTTTTCAAGAAGCTTTTAAATTGTAAATAGATACAAGATTCTGCTCAACAATCGCTGCTACTAAATAAGAGATGCAACATACAAATATTGGGTATTTAGCCTATACTGCACAACACAGAATATTCATTTCTGACGAATAATGGAAACAAAACTCACATTTTTAATAATTTAAATTTGACATATATATTTTAAATAACCCAACTTAATAATGTATCACTTTTAACGTGTTACGCATTAAATAAACTTAAGCAATTCTTAAATTTATAATATTTTATTTAAAAAATTGCCAGAAATTAATTTTTAGTTACACAATATTCAATTAATTAGTTTTATGAATAAATATAAATTGATAAATTATTTATTTACAAAAATAAAAATTATGATTAAATATTAATAAGAATGCGCACACGATGTTTGTAAAAGTAGAAATATTTTTTGGGGGAATTTAGACTTAAGGAAACTTAATTTGTCTCAAACTGTCTTTCTCCCCCTCCCCCCCTGAGAAAAGTTTACTCGATTAACAGAACAATAATGACCATAAACAAATTTGTGAAGGGTCCATTTTTATGAAGAGATATTTTGTGAAGGGACTTCTAAATAGACCCCTGCTATGGAGAAATCTTCAGAGGAAGGCATTGGCCCACATTGGGCTGTCTGGTCAACTGTGATAATGAAGATAATTGCTTCGATTACTAGAATGTTTCATTTATGCATTGAACAACTCCTGAAACTGCTTATCCATCTCATACAACTAATTTAAATTAAAATAAACCAATGATTCAATTTATTTTAATTAAAACTTTTAGGGCGATTAGACTCTCTCTTTTATGCATTTTCCAGTTTTATGCGCATGCCAAGTAAAGATTTCTTTCTGAAGAAATTTGTTTATTTTGGAGGAAACTAAAAATGACCAGTACAATTTTTAGTAAAGGGTAATTTTTGGTTAATTTTTGGTATATGAGTTATTTTAAACAAATAAAATCTACTGTAATACAAGACCATTAAAATGTTTAACTTTATTGCCGGATGTTTTTTTTTATTCATTTATTTTATTTGTTATTTTTTTTCATGGTCTGCAGCGCATATTCAATATTTTTCTGTTCGTGGGGCAAAATGATTTTATAGTAATAATGATAGGGTTTTTAAATAGCTCCAAACTCTATTTTTAATTTTATGCTTATCCACTATATCCTCTGTGGTAGAGGGATCATGAGTTGAGTCCCCTTACTCTCAGGCTAACCATGTGAGGTTTTCCTCTCCATGTAAGTTAGTTCCATCAAAAAGTCCTCCACGAAGGCAAATTTTGCCCAATACTTGATCCAGAAGTTTCCTTCTCTTCTGCAATGGGTTCAAAATTACAAAGCTATGGAGTTGAACATTAGTATTCGTAAAACCAAAGAATTGGAACTGCTGTTCAACGGCAGTTATAAAATAAAATAAAAATCTTTCCCTCGAGGATTCCTTGCAGTTGGTGCATCCCTATACCATGTATGAAATGCTGTCTGAACTTGGCTTTATCATATGCTTTTTCCCCAGCAGGATACGGATCAAGCGATGAGCGAAGGATGTAGAAAGGCTGTTCAGCTGTTGCTGTACATGAAAGCTTTGCAATTAATTTCTTCAGCTTTTCAACTCTCACAGCAAGAAGTGAAAAGTGGAAAATTACAGCCTTCTACCTCAGTACGAAATGGTAAAGTTTGTTCATTTTAAAATTACTTTTTTGGCTTAGTTTTTTTTTTAGACTACATGATTGAGGTTTTTTTCTCTTTTTTTAGTTTTGCATTTGATGAAAGAAAATTACCATTTCTGCTTGAGTATGTGCAAGAGTTTAAATACTCCTGGCCTCTTGCAATCTGTGGGTGTTGATCCAGCTGCCTCTAGCATCACGGCAGACCAAATACTTTACAAGTATGCTATTCAAATGGTGAGTGGCCCTTCTTTAAATTCAGTTTTAAAAAATTGTATTTAAAATATATTTGTGAAATTAAAAGTTTTTCATTCAAATGGTGAATGCATCTTTTTCGAGCTCAGATGTACAAAATTTTATTCAGTTTGCGAAGCCCTTTAATTTCAATAAAAGAGAGAGAATATCTCATTTGATTTTAGATTAATGTTTTTAGGAAACTCAATGACTAATTTATATTTTAAGGTTCTCATTCTATAAAGCATTTAGTAAATAAAGTGGGGAAATCTTAATTTTTTTTTTTCAGATTTATATTTATCTCTTATTTTTCAATAATTTTTATCTTTTAATTGTGTTTAACAATCATCATAACTTTAAAAAAATCTCTTAGTAATTTTGAAATTTTAACAAACAATAATAGATTTCTTGGAAAATTAAATTTCACGATATAAATGGTATCCGGGTCGATAATTAATGCATTTATTTATTGTAGTTAATAGTTAAATTAACACTGATATTTTCATGTTTGATTTATATTGTTAAAAAAATTGATTTCAATAATGCTACAGATAACTATATTTTTGTATAATCAGGACGATATTATCATTGTTGATAATTATCTTATCCACGATATTTATTGTTATGCACAGCCGTCACATTGTTAAGGTATCCCTATTGATTTAAAAGTATTTACATTTCTTTATGTATGTAATGTTTCTTTAACTATCCAGCTGTTCTTGTAAATTTCTGATAAGACTTTTCCTGCCATATAGTATTTTATCATCAAATCATATGGAAAGAAATCAGTTTATTATTCGGGAAAATAGTCAGATTTTATGACAGCTTCCATGCTAACTGTAAAAAATTTTAAAAATAAGCATTCTGATTTTGGTAAATGAGTTATGCATTTATTCTTTTATTTTCTAAGAGAAAGTTATAGCAATCATATGGCTTGTTTTTTTAAGAAGAAGAATAAAAAAAGTGTATATGCTTAGTAAACAGCTGTATTCATAGTATCATGTTTAAATTTATGAATTTACTGTCACAAATAAATCACACAGACAATCTATATCTACAATACATACTGATTTGTTTCATTGAATTGATTGTAAAAAATCCCCTAAATATTTGTGTAACTTAATTGTGCTTGAATATGGTTACTGTTATATTTTGGTTTTTAAATGATTTTATCCATAAAATTTATTTATTTATTATCTTGAATTTACCCTTCTTTTAAAAGTAAAGTAATACCATTTTCAATTTAATTGGTTTTCTATTTCTCCCTCGTCCCGCAGTGGACTGATCGTAAGGACACGGTTCCCTATAGAACACCAAAGTCATCACTGCCTGCGGTCAGTAAACGGGTGGGGTGACCACTTTGATCAGCTTGTGTAGAAACCGAGAGTGTGTGGTATCGGTCCTCTTTAAAACTGTTTGACAGTAAAGTGCTCTACTTTGCACTCATGTCGTCAGCTACCAAAGCAGGGGAGCTACCCCCTCAGCAGAGGATTAAAATTGCAATTGCATATCTTCGGATCATTCTCAGGGATGTTTCCCAGACTGTCACCAATAGCCCATTGTGCAGCTCTAGTGCAATATAAATAAGATATCTACCTACCCTCGTTGCAGAATCGCAACTACATTGTCACAGAAAGTTAGAGTTCTTGCAAAAAAATTTTTCTTTCAAAAAGTTTTTTTTAAAAAAAGAAAAAAATATTTCTTTTCTTTGGAAAGTTACACTTAATATTTGAATCATGCATTTAGATTATCACTGTGACGTGCTCAATTTACTCAGATAGTATCGTAAATCGATGTAATATTTCGATTGTATTTTCGTCATTTATTGATTTTCATGTGGATTTTATATTTTCCCTATATATTTCAAACAATGTTGAAAAATCGAATAATGCATTTGAGTATTTACTTTTTAAGGCAATAATTCTATCGAATTTTTAGCAGTTATTGCTATCGATTTCTAGTTTTTGAATCTGATATTTTTGTACAATATTTTTTATTACAACAACTTATTGTCCAAACGAAACATGTGAAGTCCGATTCGCGCGATTTCATCTGTCTTTTTTTTGGCAATTGCTCGAACAATTTACAAAATGTAAAGAAGAAAATAACTTGTGAGCTCCGCCAACCCCCAACAGAATGTGAGAATATCACCCATAATATTAGAATAAAAAATTATGACATGTTCAATTTTTAAAAAAATTATAGTTTTTTTTTTTTTTGTTTTGTTACACAGCGTTTTTGCTTTTTTAAATTAGTAAGTTATTTTTAAAAAAGTATCTTGCAGAAAGATATTAGTACTAGAGAGTTTTGTCGCAGATAGCTAAAAAAAAATTCTTCCTGTTTTTCCCTCATTTTTTGTGATTTTTGTAAAACATAAAATAAAAAACTATATTTACTTTCTACTTATTGCCAACAATTACTTAAAAATAAATGAAGGCTTTTTTTTTTTTTTTGATGTATTATGCGTGTATGTGGATGCATGCACATAATTATAAATTTTTCTTATTATTTTAATTACAGTGTCAATCTGCTGCCTTGGAAGAGCTTTTTGGAGAGCCTAAAGAGGTAAACCCTTAATCGTTTCAAATTTGTTCTTAACAGTTTTTAATAAAAAAAATATTTATGGTGCAACATGTCTAAAGTTGACCTCTATTATTATGAACAGAACATCTGTGCAACTGGAAAGTCATGAATTTTGGTATTGAATAAAATTTGTCATGATCTTAACTATTTTTTTATTAAAAGATCATGGAAAGTCATGGCTTTATGTTGTCGTAAAATCTAATTTTTAGGAGGGAATTTACCCTCTCCTACCCCATTTTCATGGTGTCCCGAATATCTAAGTAACAAAATCCCTACTCACAGTCATATTTTATTAAAATATAAAATGTTTTATCATGTTCTTTAAAAATAATGGTGTTCTTTCAAAAAATAAAAGAAAAAGCATATATAGAGCGATATATCTTTTAAACTTCTGCGATTTCAGAATTTTTATCATTTTTTATTTATTTTTTAGAATTTTATCCATTTCAAATTCTAGCTGAAGCAAGCTAGTCATGGGGGAATTTTTTTTATTCCAAAATGAGAACAAGAAAATCAGGAGTATTTCTTTCCCTTCTAATGAACAAGAAAAGCATGTTTCGAATATAATTCTGAAGTAAAAAAAAAAAAACAATTATTTGCTTTTGTATTTTTTTCAGCTATTTTATTGCTTCAACTCTTTCTTTACTCTGTTTTTTAAATTTAAAATCTATAAATATGAAGATGCAGAGTGTAACAGTTTTGGTTATACCTCTCATTGCAATTAATGTTATTATAATGCTTTTTTAAATTCATTGTTTTTGTCGGAGAAAATAGTAACTTCGTTAAGTCGTGAAAAATTCTTGGAATTAGTCATAGCAAGTCATGAATTTGAAAATCTAAAAAGTAGCAGATACCCTGTATTTAAAACATGTTAATTCGATTCTATGTTGGGGTACCTTTTCATAGATTAAGTTTTACATTGTTGATAACTACTATCCACACATTTCTGACCTTCGGATGAAATGTGAACACGCCTACTTCAATGGATAGTCCCCATTGAACAGTTGATTTGCTACTTGTAACTGTGACCACTTCCTTGCTCTGTTGCTACTCAATCTCGATCACACACAACATCGGCCTGTGTACACTTGACTGCTAAAGGCAACACAGGAGCGATCATGACCGTGAACTTAATACAGCTCTCGTGATCAGCACACAAAAAGTATGGTGATCTTAATAAAGCTCTCCCGGCTTGTCACAAAACTGCAATGAATCAACTACTGGTATTCATTCATTGAATTCTATCACAGAGAAAATTCTAGTGGGGGAATACTGTAGTGTATCTACCACTACAAAAATACAATTCCAATTCATTAATATCTAAGACATGTTAACTCAATTCTATGTTGGGGTACCTTTTCATAGATAAAGGTTGACAATGTCGAATACTCCTCTCCTCACAACATCTATTATTATGAACCTAATTTATCTCATATAACAAAACCTGACCACCTTGTATGATCTTATATGTTGACTACTGAAAGAAGTCAAATTAATCTAGAATGCTATTCTTAACTCTTCACTAGTTGATCGAAAAAAAGTTTTTCGTGTGTAATTTTTTTCGTCGTTGAACAGCCGACCCAATTCTGGGTTAACGACTTTTAATTTTCAACTCCATAGCCTTGTCATTTCATGCCCAATCCAAGAGACAAGGGAACTCCTGGATGAAGTATTGGGCAAAATTTGCCTTCCTGGAGAACTTTTTCATGGAACTAACTTACATGGAGAAGAAAGCCTCCCACAGTTAGTTGCCATGGCAAGGGGATGCTAAGTGACACACTCTAAATTCTTTCACAAAGATTTCAGTTCTTTCACTATGTATTTACACAGAGACTTAATGCAAAGACAGGAAGCCATGTGGTACATAAACTAATTATGCATTGAAGTACACAAAACAAAAAAATGTCACGGTTTTAATAAAATACTGAGATAAATAATATGTCAAAGTTAAATAAAAGAAGTAGAAGAGAAAGAATTACATTTCACCTGATTTGATGTAAGACAGTGTTTCCCAACTTATGACTTTTGTGTACCATTTCTAAATTTTTTCGTAACGCTGTCTACCACTAATTAAAAAATGAATACATTTTTTACTATGAAAAAATTGCACAAAAGTTAAAAATAACAACTGGCTGTTGACACCACTAATTATTAACTGTTAACTCTGCAAAAAATAGCAAATAGAAATATACGTAATCGTAAATTTTCATGGCTAGCTTTGTTTTTAAAATTTTTGGAAATTTTCGTTTGTTGCAAGATATTTCGCATAAGAACATGTACCCCACTAAACTGCTCCCGTACCCCTGAGGATACGCGTACCACACTTTGGGAAGCACTGATGTACGATATTCCTCTGTATTTAATTAACTTATCGTTAATTAATATTCTAACTTATGTAGGGAAACTTAGCTCAATTTTAATACGCCATTTTGCTGATAAAGATTAGCTGGCGCTGACATCATAGGTCACATGTGTGGATATAAGGTCTTCTTGAAGTTACTTGTCTTGTCTTCCCAATTACTTGTCTTGTAAATTATAAATTTTATTTAATCCATTTTTTTGCTTAAAATTTAACCATGAAAACATGAGTTTGTAAAGCAATTTATTTTCACAATATAAATGTTTTTTTTATTTCATTTATTTATTTATTTTGACAGAGCTTCCATCGCTATCAGACGGCACAAATTTTACTTCACAGTTTAGGACAACAAGTTAATGATCTCAGTGATAAAGAACTTCTACATAAATGTAAGTATTTTATTGTAAGCTAAAATGAGCGAAAAAAATAAATTGTAATTCTACACTTCAGTTTAAAAATTCATTCTAGCATAATTAAATTATGATTATTTTGAACTCTTATTAATGTCATGCACTCAAGATTAAATAAATCATTCTTATAAAACGAGCGTATCTTTAACCGACCTAATCTACCTTGTGAGCTCTTGAGTTTGCAAGTTGACATTGTCAGAATGGGAGTTTAATTTTTTTCCTCCATCTTTTTATTTCTTTTTCATTTGTTTTTCGTTCTTTTATAAATTTACCACTTGTGTTAATTTTTTGTTTAAAACACTGCAATTTCGGTCATTCACAATAACTTATATATACTCTCGATATCTGGAAAATCTTGTTATGTCTCAAAAAATCTTTTTCCTCCTGTCATTATATATCCTCTTAATGTTAATTTGAATTCTTATGGCAAAATTGTTCTCAAGACCTTGTTATGCCAAATTTTTTTTCAAAACAGAAAATGACTTTTTTTGGGAAGCACCACAATATGAGTTTATTGTAAACCAATTATTTTCTATTTAATGCATAATTATTTTTATCTTGCTTTTGAAATAAAATTATCATTGTTGTACCTAAACGTACTGTCAACTATCATTACATACAAATTTATTAGTAGTTATTCTTATGATTCATGACTCTACTTTTAAGAATAATGTTTTAAAATATACTTTTCGACTTTTTAGAATATATTTAATTCTGAGCTTATTTATGTCCCTTCACCTTTGAGATATCGAGAATGTATATTATATATATAGATATACATTATTTTTGATTTTTATATACATTATTGTTGAATATAGATATTGTTGATTTAAGGGATTTTCATTAAAATTTAATTTAGGTGTTACCTAATTACTGTTTAAAAGGAGCTGTGTTGAACATAATACTCAAGATTTTTTTTATTAAATTGTATTTTCGCATTGTATTGAAAAATATAAGAAAAAAGATTTATTTTTAAAAAGCTCTTATGCAAATAATTTGCTGGTTTTAAAGAGTTTGCCTTATCTAAATTTAAGTAACATTTTCTGTTGCAAAAATATTTTAGTGAGTCAACATCAACAGGGTGCATAGCGTTTTTAAAAAGTGCTTAAACATGCTTATTTTTTATTTACGTTTTTTAAAAGCTCTTAAAGGTGCTTTTTTTGTTTGCTGTTTGTAAAAAGTGCTTAATTTTCTATCTTTTAAAAAGAGATTTTTTTTTCTTGCCGTACCGGATGTCATTTTAAATTACAATAAAAGCATGAGTTTCACAATTTTCTCTGCAATATTTATCAAAAACCAGTTGTTTTTATCACGATTAGATTAAGTTTTCTAAAATCTTTTTTAATTTTGTTGATTTTATGTTAATAAAATAAGAACTTTAAACAATAAAAAAAAATTCTTTTTTATCACTGCATAAATCTTTATTGTGATTTTTTTTCCTTATTATGATTAAAGAGATTGATTATGATTAAAAGAGATTATTTCCTTATTATAATTAAAAAGAAATTTTTTTCTTTGCCGTATCGATTGCCATTTTAAATTACAAATAAAAGCATGATTTTTGCAGTTTTCTCTGAAATATTTATCAGAAACCAGTTGTTTTGTCATGATTATGCAAAGTTTTTTTAAATCTTTTTGAATTTTATTAATTTTATGTTAATAAAATGAGAACTTTAAACAATAAAAAAAATTCTTTTTTATCACTGCACAGATCTTTATCATGATTTTTTTTTTGGAAAGTGATTAAAAATATTTTTTGTGTAAAGCACTTGAAAGGTGCTTATTTTTTGTTGATAAATCTGACTTAAAAAATATAATCTAATAAATCTGTTTGTCGACGCTCAGGTAAATATGAACTCGCTCAATAAACAGAAAATAAGCGGACTGTAAATTCACAATATTTATTTATTATTATTTGGAAGAGAGCTTTTTTGTAGCTCGTTACAGCTCTCCTTCCACACACACTCTTTCTCTCTCTGTGTTACAAATTATACTAGGTGGCGCTACAAATCCGTGCGGATACACTGTTTATAAACTAAGAATTTTACACTATAGAAAAAATTCATTTTTATTGCTGCACAGATCCTTATTATAATTTTTTTTTTCTTGGGGAGAAATGATTAAAAATATTTTTGTGAGCTTAAAAAGTGCTTGTTTTTTGTTGAAAAATCTGGCTATGCAGCCTGATAAAATAATATTTTCTGGTTATTGTTATAAAAATTGCTTTCATTTTGTCTAACTTAATAAGTTTTTTTCTCTTCTTTCTGCAGATCGAGATGCTGTGCAGAAAAGACTGGAAATACTCACCAACAACCGATCTGTATATGCATACCATGCAACATGAAAAAAATTAATTCTTCTGGATTTCTAACTTTATTTTTTTTTTGTTGTGAAGATTCCAATATTTTGTGGAAAACAAACTGTGAGAGATGTTTCCTTTAACCAGCTAATTTATTTCATTTCAAAAGTGAACTCTATAATGAATTTTGAAACAACATAGTACTTAGAACGTATATTTAGAAGAAATGTATCCTCTATTATGTAAGTTTTTGAGCCGGGTACTCAAATACCCAACTTAGCGATAACTATCTAAATTTTTAGTTTAAATCCATTTTCCTCGCTGAGTGAGCCTTTAGTGAACTAATTTATTAAATGGGAATTATTTTTTAGATAGCAGCTTCTATCTATTTTTAGATATCCATATATGGCTTGTTTAAATTATCAAAGAATTTGCCTTCAAAAGTTTTTAATCGTGACTTTTTATGTAATGTTGCCAACCACCGTGGAATTTTTTGTAACTGCTGACTGATGCAGCCTATTTAGACAAATTATATTTCTTTTCCTGAATTGATCCAATAGAAAAACTAATTTTATAATTAGAAAAATTAATTTCTAAATAGGATCTTATATTTAGTTTGGTGTATCATATTCATGCTCAAATTGTATGTCGACAAACCACATTTGAAGATTTCTGAAAAATAAAAAATTTTACTTTTAAGTAAATGAAGAATTACTGTTCATATTTTAAAATCTCCATTGCTGTTTTCAAACCAAACATGATTAAGCATCTGGTTACTATTAACACCTTCAGGAGTCTTTCCTTCACGGGCGACGGCTTCGAGCCTGTCTGGCTCTAGCGACCCAAGATCATATGAACGGTACTTTGGTATTAGTATCCTAGGGAACCTCTCTACTTCGGCCAGTCCTGAAGGAGTTAATCATGGAGTTGCAAACTTATTTTAAGTATGCTAAATGATCTGCAGTAATCTTTTATCCATGTTTCTAGCAATTTTTTTCACTTTAAGCATTTTGTTAGTATTGTACTCTTTAAAAAAGATAATCCAATTTCTTTAAGAATTTAATGACTCAAGATTTATTTTTTCAATTGATGCAGAGGTTGTTAAAATGCTGTTTTTTTGTAATTGCATGTACATATTATCCAAATAAAAACTTAGATATAATAGCTTTAATTTGAGACTATGTATATATATATACACACACTGCCCTACAATAATGGAAGAGACACTTTAGTTTTTGACATTTTTTTTTTAATTTCTCAAAAAATACTTAAATGATTATTTTATATTTATAAAGATGTTCGTGCGATTTTTCATATACTTAGCAATAAGATTTAAAGCTTTCAGATGTTTGAGATACCAACAACAAATTACGAAAATAAAAACAAGTATTTTACACCCTATGGCAGAAAATCAAACAATAAACTTGCAACTTGTATTGATGACTTTAGTTGTTCATTGGAACAGGATGCGTAGCATTTTTAAAAAGTTCTCAAAGGTGCTTATTTTTGTTTTTTAAAAGCCCTTAAAAGTGCTTTTTTCATTGGGTGTTTTTTAAAAGTGCTTTATTTTCCCTTTTTCAAAATGAGATTTTTCCTTTACCGTGTTGATTTTTGCTACAAATTATGCAAAAAGACACAGTTCGCATTGTTCTATTCAACGTTTTCATAATTCAACCCCAATCTATTTCAGCATATTGTCAGTCCGTAGCGTATGAAAACGCCATTTGTTTTACATGATTTTTGACAATTGTCAAAAACAATGCCAAAACTTTTTTTATTTTTATTTTGACACGACGGTTAAAACAAGATAAAACCGTCAATTGTCAAAAACTTTCCAACCCTGCTCAATTATGATATTTTTTTAAAAGCTTAAAAATATTTTTTGAGTGCTTAAAAGGTGCTTATTTTTTGTTGAATAATTTGGCTATACACCCAGTGAAATAACTGCATTAAATTTCGTAAAACTAGAGTAAATATTTATGGATATATTTGACATTTCTATTAAGAATAAATTTTACTCCTTATATTTCGTTTAATTCCATTGAAGATCTATAAAGTTATAGTGAAAAAATTAATTTTTTATAAAAATGTCCACATCTCCATAAATATTTACTCTAGTTTTATGAAAATTTAATGCAGATAGAATTTTATGCAGATATTAAAAATAACAAAAGTAATTGATACAAGCTTATTGCTTGATTTTCTGTCCTAGGAAGTTCAAAAATACTTGTTTTCTTTCATAAGTTATAGTAGGTCTCTCTGAAAGCTTTAAATTATGTTGCTAAATATGAAGAATTGCATGAAAAAGGTACAAAATAGTCCTTTATATATTTTTTGAGAAATTTAAGAGAAATGTCAAAAACAAAGTCTCTTCGATTATTGTAGTGTAGCATATACTCATTTTTACTTGTAGAGCTTTTCATATTTATTTTAGTGTAGTGTTGAAGACGTTGAAAGCTGCAAGTGTAAAATAATCTTTTTGGGTACAAATTGTATTAAACAATGATTCTGTGAAAATCAAATTAAATGAAAAATGATTTTAAATTGTATTACTGTATGGGAAGTTCATTGATAAGATATTGCAGTAATTGATATAACTTTATAGGAAATTTACTGAAAAGCATGAAATAAATTGATGCTATTGAAAAATTTACCAAACAAATATAAAATTTAGTTTATATTAGCTGCACTGGAATAGTTTAACTGCATACTATAAAAAATATGTTGTACATAAAACTTTCTTTAATTGAAATAATCATGCTGAAGGACACATTTTAATTTTTTCAGAAGGAGACTCATTTTTTTATAAATTTATACCGAGTGTGTCTTAGATAATGCAAAAAACGTGTAAATTACTATAAAGAACTGCATAACAATAGTTTCCATTTTTAAGAGCATTAAAGTTTAATTTTTTTCTCCAACTTTAAAAGCCCAACATCTGAAGAATATATTCTTAAAGTTACAAGTATAAATTCTCAAAGTATAAAGTTACAAGTAAAGTTACAAGTATAAAGTTACAAGTAAAATATCTTTCTGCATCTAGGATTTAGACAACATCATTACCCTGTGAAACTCGAGTTACGTTTCTCTCAAACCTTTTCTTTAAATAGTATTTATTTTTATAATTTTATGAGCAAAAAGCCTTCCACCCAACAGCTGAACTGTTTTGTTTCTTGTCTTTAAGCAAAAATGGGCTTTTTTTTTTCCTCTTAATTTTGCCAACATTAAGAGCAAAAAGTTGATATTTAGCTGAATTGAGAAATGAAGAATTTTTTATTTATGTCTTGACGCATAAAAGTATAATTACAGTAAAACCTGGATTGTTTCTCATGAAACCAAAGAAGGAACAATGAATGCTCAAAAACATGAAATATCTATTGACTTAAAAAAGTACAAAAAATAATTACGTGGTAATGGACTTAAAAATTAACTAATTTAAAATAAGTATAAAAACTTAAATTGGAAAAAATTACATGCTTGCTGCAAAAATATTTACAATACGAAAGGTTGATTTAAACGCATTTATTCATTTCAAATGTAAAGAAATTTTGGTTTTAACATTGTATTTTTGAGATTTGTTAGAAATTGTTGTTATTTACTGTAATTTTGTGTCAATACAGAAAATTATCACATTATTTCAAAATTGACAGTTGTTGTTCTGTTTTATTGTCTTTATCTGCTTCAGTTGCTGCAACCCTTTTCACAACACCAGTCATACAACTGATGCATAAACATGAGAACAATAGATGCAGACATTTTTTAGTTTCAATAACAATTCAAATAGTCACTGTAAGAATTGCATTTGTGGCAGGAATGGTAGAACAAGACTATACGTACAGGAAGAATAGATCAAGGTTTGACTGTATTTAAAAAAAAAATAAAAATTTGATGAATAGTTTTTGCCATTGAAAAAAAAAAACTTTTGTAATTGAAAGAAATGTGAGCAAAAATTTTTTAGCGGTTCAATTCCAAACCAAAAACATTTACTAATAGTAATTACTTCAATTTTTTAATGAACTTTCAGTATTATAAAATTTTTAATTTAGTACCTTTATTTAAATGTTTATTTAAAAGTAAATTCCAGCGTAACTTTGTTAACATTATGTATATATACTTAGAATTAAGTAGTATATACAACATAAAATTGCACTAGTTTGGAAAGTTGGTGCCTCTATCATTAGAATACTTTGTAAAATGTCGTTACCATGATTTTAAAAAATGTCAATCTGTCGTGATTTATCGTCCGGCTGTACTTCAGCTTTTACAATATGTGCTTATCTAACTCATAAATGCATTAAGGAAAATAATTTGCTTTTAAAATTTAAAAATATATTATTCAGATGTTATATGTTTAGAATATTTTTTTTTCTAAACTTTATTTTTTCTTTTGTGTATATCCCCTTTAATTGAGATAATAAATTTTTATTTAGCTGCATTTTACCCTTTATGATGCGATATAATTTATCATTCCTTTTGTAGCATGGCATATGTAAATATTTATTTATTTGTATGAGAGATATTTATTTTAATGTGAATATATGGTGATGAATGTGCACTAAATGGACTGGTGTGATATTCTTTTCACTGGATATGTCATCTGCTAGGGAAGAAATACTGTTAATCGCCTCTGGAGTTTACATTAGTTTCTATCTTTTGTGATTAAAACATGGTATCTGCGCATCTGGAAGTCGTGGATTTCAGTATTGAACAAATTTTGTCATGATTTTAACTTTTTTTAAAAAAAAAAAATCCTTGAAAGGCATGGATTTAGGTCGTCGAGAAATCTAATTTTTTAAATAGAATTTACCCCCCCCCCTCCAAATTTCATGGTGTTCCGAATATCTGAACTTCTAACAAAATCCCCTCTCACAGTCTTATTTTATTGAAATATAAAATGTTTTTATCATTGTTCTGTAAAAATTATGGTTTTCTTTCAAAAAATGAAAGAAAGAACATCATTTCTAGAGCAAATTATCTTTTAAACTTCTGCGATTTCATTTTATTTTTTTTATCAATTTAAAATTCTAGTTTAGGCTTTTTATATTACACTTACTTTAAAGAAGAAATAAAACAGCTTTAAATAACTACATATATCTTGACTGTATATAGTTATTTGCTTTTGTATTTTCTTTCAGCTATTTTATTGCTTCAACTCTTTCTTTACTCAATTTTTTAAGTTTAAAATAAGTAAATGTGAAGATGCAGATTATAACAGTTTTGGTTATACCTCTCATTTCAATTAATGTTATTATAATGCTTTTTTAAATTTATTGTTGTGTTTTTGTGGAGACAAAAGTAACTTCATGTAAAGGCATGAAAAATTCTTGGATGGAAAGTCTGAAAAGTCATTGATTTGAAAATCTAAAATGTAGCAGATACCTTGTTAAAATGTAAATTAATAATGAATGAAATATTTTTGTTTTTTACCATGTGCCAGTCATTTTATTTTAAAATTCTTAGATAAAGACATTGTTTTCATAAGATTGCGAAACGAATTTTAATTACAGACTTAATTAAAAAATGTAATTATAATTTTTTTTAAAAATTATCTAATGAAGACTAATTTAACCGGGGAATCGAAAAAATAAATTTAAAGTTAATAAAGACATTGTTTTCATCAAGAATACGAGTTATTTTTACATTCATTATTGATAAAGAATATTTTCATCAGGAAAAAAGTAATATCAGGTAAATAAAGATATAGTCTTTATCAGGAATAAAATCCACTTTTTGTGTTGGTCATTGTTAAAGACATTGTTCTCTACAGGAAATAAGAAGAGAGTTCATTAAATCATTGTTTTCATCAGAAATTTTAAAAAAAAATTTGTTTAATGACGATATTGTTTATACCAGGATTGAAAAATGATTTTTTAGTTCATCATTAATAAATGCTTTTTTTTCACCAGGAGTAGAAAATTGTTTATTTAAAAGGAAATCAAGGAAAAATTATCTAAAATACATTTGTAACATTGTTTACACTAATTATGACTTATAGTATAGTATGTCTAATGTAAGAACTCCCCTAGCCATTTGTCTGCGCCCGTGGCGGTGACTCGAGTTGGCGAGTGAAAAGGAATCTTTTTCTTCTGTCTAGCCCTAGTGTGGAGCGAAGCTGCTCTCCTTGAAATGCACTATTTTTGTTTCCGAGGCAGCAGACATCCTCAGACATTG